ATCATAAAAAGAAATGAAGATCCAACTTAAGGAAGAGAACAAGGTGGAGAAGAGAAAGAAAAGGGAACAAAGAGAGAAGAAGAAGAAGGAAGTAGCATAGATTGGTGAAGAACAGATTCTGACCAAGAAATACAGTTGAATTTTCTGGTGGCTCTGCAATTCAAATCTGGTTTTTATTTTTCCTGAGTTGCAGATGTTGGTGAAAAAAGATGACAGAAAATTGAAAGTAACAGAGAAAAGAAGAAAATAAGAAGAAAAAAAGGAACGAAAAAAGAAGAAGACCAATGTTAATTTAGAATCAGGGTTAAAGAAATTATATCATAATCGGTTAAGGTGGTCAAATGATTTTCTGAAAAGGAGCATGTTGTATTTTCACAAGAAAAAATAAAAGAAAGTGCTACTTAAATGCAAAGTGTCATAAACTGTAAATATTAACTAAATAATGTTATTTTTTTTATATATAAATGAAAATTAATTCTTCCAAATAATTGTAGTAACTAATATTTATTAAACAAATTAATTAAAGATAAATATAAATTTAAATTGCATATAGTTATGTGCTAATGATTTCTGTAAAACCCGGTAATTATCTTTAAAAAATTATCTCTTAAATTAGTTGTACTTCTAGGAATGCCCGTGTAAATTGAGAAAATTTGCATTTTAATAATAGTCATTTTACTTCATCAATTTTGTAGTTCTTGGTAGTTATTCATAAATAAAGAAAACTTTCCTAAATAAATTTTATTGATTTAGAACACTTCTTCTTAATCGCTGATATGTATATACTCAAATAAGAAAATATACATATTTGAAAATAAAATAATTTAACATAAAATCGTGATCTATACATTTTAGTTATTCTAGGATTTATCTTTAATAGGAATTATTATTATTTACTAATAAAAAGGAAAAAATATGTGCATCATAGATATAATCGTTTAAAACCCTAAAAACCACGGCTTTATATACGATCGTAAGCTTACGATAATTCTCTCACCCTTCTAGGCAACTAATAAAAAAGAAGAAACCATTCTATTAGCTTATAATTATAACTCGATTTCTCATTAGGGTTAAATCACAATGGGTACACATAACGCGAAGATCTCATGTGACATCTTGCTTGATTCATCCTCTATTGCTGATAACAATGGTAACTTAATGGTTTTCGTTTTTATTTTGCTTATTTTTAATATAATAAACTGAAGTTTATGCTTATACGTGAAAATTTATCTTAATTTTTAAGCCATTAAAAAATTGTCGTTAATCTTTTGTTATACTATAAATTCTTGCAAAGAGACATGTTCGTTTTTGTTATGATGTTTGGAATAAAAATCTAAATTCAATTTTTTCTTATCTTACAGTTCTTCATAATACTGTTGATCGAACTTCATCACTTGAAACGGCATTCAAGAGATTACGTCTCTATCAATCCTATGATCGTCTCCCTAAACATCCTTCAATATTGTATAATATTCCACATATTCACGGTATGAGTGTTATATTAAAAAAATAAATAAAAAACTCATTGAATGATAAATAAATTATATATGTCTTATTATTTATAGATATGTCCAAAATACCTTGTGGTTTAAGAAAGAGGAGTGGGCCACGCGAATTGGGTTCTAAGGTGTTTGGGTTTGGAATATTGTATTCTGAATCAGCTCATGGAGATCGCACAGATGTTCAGTCGGGTTTGTGGGATGTGCCCTGTCATCTAATCAATGAAATTGGTAAAAAATTCCTATAGTAATATCTTTTTCTGTTAGACGTTACAAATATATTCATAATTTGGTTTGATATAGGACCAGATAATGAATTCGAACACGACATCATTAGCGACTCAGCTAATAGAAGCATTGGTGTTTGTAATGAACATGAGCAAAACGGTAAGTCTCTTGATCAGAACAGTCTTCAAGTTGATAATTTATTAAACATCTATATAGAGGGACGACTAATATATCAAAAATGTATATATATATATATATACGAAGGTCCTACTGGTGCTGACCCTGACGAATCAAATTACCAAAAAGATGATCCAACTGATGGTGATCGAACTGACGACATTGGTGATGGCGACATTGTAACCGATAACAAAGGTGATGGCAATGATGGTGATGATAGTGGTAGTGACCAACCGGATACTGATAAAAATGATGATGATGACGACTGGTATGATGGTTGCGATGACGAAGAAGAAGACGAAGACAGTGATGATAACGATGGCGACGAATATGATGGCGAGGAAGATGACGAAGATAGTACTGATAGTGATGATAGTGATGGAATTGACGAAGAAGACGAGGACGAAGAAAGTGATGATTGTGAGGAAACCGATGAAGAAAATGAAGACGATGACTATGATGAGACGAACGAATTGTCTGATGGTTGTGATGAAGAAGGAGACGAGGACGAGAGTCATGATGATGTTGATGAGAAAAATGAAGAATACATGAGTGATGATGTTGATGATATTCGGAATGATGCATCGGCAGTGAAAAACGAATGTTCTGCTGATCATCAGCCCAAACGTCCATTGGGAAAAAGACTATATCTCAACTATGATTTCCATGGAACATCACAAAATATTGTGGATGGTATCTTTGTTAAAGCTCCCCCTAAACGCATTTGCGTGCGACGTAGGCTCTTTACTTCAGATTCTGAAATTGATAATGGTGATGAATGTTCCAACGACTCCTCTTCAAATACAGCTATGGTGTCTCAAGAGATTCAAGCGTTTCCAATAAAAGTCATACATCTAACTGATGGTCCGTGTGAGTTTGAGATTAATGTTAAAGTTTTGAGAGTTTGGACTCATAGTTTGCACCCATCTGAAAAGCGTCTCGAGGCTGTGCTATGTGATGACCTGGTTTGTTTACTATATAGTCCAGTTTTATATTATTACATTTATAATATTTTTTTAACATATTACTATTGTGATAATTAGACTTTAACAATTTATATCATATGCTAGGGTGATAAAATACATGCCACTGTACCAACCGCATGCTATGCTTTGTTTGAAGACCAGTTTCCTGTTGGAAATTGGATTAAGATTCGCCGTTTCCAGGTTGCTCATGTCTATGGTGTTTTTAGGAAAACTTCGCGTCGTTTTAAAATAGTTTTGGGTTCACATACTGTCGTAGATGGTGATAGTTTTCATTGCGAACAGAATTTTTTCGATTTTATCGACTTCCGTGTAATCTTGAATCGCACATACAGTGACGACTTTTTAGTTGGTAAGTATGTTGATATATGATTTATATTTTTTTTAAGTATAAGAAACAATAATGAGCTTACTATTGTCTTTCGTTTCAGAAATAATTGGCCGTGTTATAAACGTTGGCAAGTTTCATTCCTGGGAAGGTTATACTTTGGACCAACTGGAGGAAAAGTGCATTGATAGCGAATACCAGTTTATCACTTTCTACTTGGAGGATTTAAGGTTTGTATTCTCTGTTCAATGTTTTCTCGAATTTAACTATGTGAACAATTATAAGAATACAAGCATTTATAATTTTGTGCTAATTATTTTAATCATGTAGACACGTTCGTCTCTTTTGCAAATTGACTGGCATAAGAGCTTTAAAGTTTTATAAGGACTGGCGTAGTTGTCATAGCCAAAATGCTGTTTGTGTAATCAAATGGGGAAATATTGATTATCTTTGGAGGTATGTCAGTTGCATATATAAATTAATGTTTGAATATGCGTGGTATAAATTTAGTATTTTACTTCTTATTTCAGGAAAGGTAACGATCTCGGCTATTCAACCAACATTGGTAGTACTGAACCCACATGTTGCAGAAGTCGAAGAATTCAGAGAAAAGTATGGCATGTACATATCTTCCTATGTATAGTATATATAATATTATACATAACCTTTTTTATTTATGTTGTTTTATTTTTATTACGCAGGATGATTAGCAGTCGAAGCTATCGTCTAGAGAATATTCACCATCGAGATTAGATAGATACAATATTACCCATATTCACTATTCGTATTTTAAATTTATGTTTTAGGATACATTTCATAAGGTTTTTGGTTTTTAAAAGTGTTCTTCGAATTCTTCATCTTCATTATATGTGAAGTTAGTATTTCATAATTATAATTACTGTTTTCGAATCATTTATTATCAATTGTTTCTCGACTATTACCTATACATGTTCCATATATATATTAAGTTAAAGTATCTTTCATAAACATGCGTATACAGTATATATATTTATATCCGAGTTGAAATTCTCAATGAAATTCATATATATCGCTATTGTTACATATATTAAAATTGCCAATAATTGTACTCATCATACTCGAGTGTCTTTTCCTTCTTCGTAGTATTTACAAAAAAAAAAACTTATGAATTATGGAAATTATGATTTTTTTAATAAAATTACAAAAGTATAATATACGGTTATAGTTCGAAATATATTTCTAAAAAAACAATTAAAATTGAAAAAATGATTTTATAAAAAAAAAAGGAAAATGTACAAAAGATGCTAATTTCATTATCATTATAATGTTTATTTTATGTTTATGTTAAAATGACTGAAAACATAATTTCACGCAACTGATTTTTGGATAAAAATAACAAATATACTTATATGAGAAATGGAATAAGTAAAATTTACATTTAAATTATGTTAGGTCTTAAAATTGAACTTGATATATAGAAATCAATAAAAGATACGATACTCTATTTATTTGCATCGATCCAAAAGACCTAGGGTTTTTATCAATTCCTATATATATATTTATGTACGACTGATTAATCTTCCTCATTAAATCGGTTCAAGAATTTTCGGGAAAAAGAAGAAGATGGAGTCGTCAATAGATAATAGTGTTGACACTAAGAAAGTTGTGAAGTCCTATCTCATGCGGAAAACAATCGTCTCTGCTCTGATAGACGAAATTGATAGAACGAGTGATCGTTACAAGATAAAGGTTCAGATAATCAATCTCTGGAAATTATATCATAAAAATAAGGTTACATCCATAGAGATGGTATTAGCAGATGAAGTGGTAAGCAATGTTAATGTTTTATATCTATATATATGAACATGCATCGTATAGTAAAATTATGATATGAATAACTTAAATATTAATTAAGTTTTTGACTATATCAGGGTTCTAAGATTCATGCAACTGTTGATGGAGATTCGGTGGAGCAATTTAATTCAGAATTGACGGAAGGCCGTACTATATTCTTAAGCAACTTCACGTTCAAAGATTACACTACTGCATATAGGACAAGTCCTTTATCTTTTAAAATAAGTTTCTACAGGACTACTGTTATAACACCTTGTGATGACTTTCCTAGGGAACTTTCTTATAGATATTTTAAGGAATTTTCAACTATAAGTAATGGGGATTATGACAACAGTGTTTTAATAGGTATGCTAGATATATGTTGTTTACTATATTTATCGAGTTATATTGTGATATAATACATCTTATCTGTACTAATTCTTTATAAATATTAATGTAGATGTCATAGGGCAGGTTGTTAGTCTAGAAACTTCTGACGTTATCGCTCAAGGAAAACCTATAAGAAAGTTGGACGTTGTTCTACGTAATGCCAGGTGAGTTCATAATGATATAATTTATGAAATAATATTTAGTCAAATCATATATAATTTAGTTAGTTTGTTGATTACGTATAGTGATAATCGCTTGACTTGTACGCTGTGGGGAAATTTCGGAAAGAAAGTAATCGACTACGTGACGAAAAATATTGCGTCTGTGATCGTGTGTGTTGTTAGATTTGCTTCAGTAACAGAATGGAAAGGTATATTTGAACTTAATTGTATTGATAATAGTTGTGATATAAATAAGTTTATCATATACGCTTTTTTAGAAATTTCAAATACTTTACTTTTAATTTCTTGTAGGAGTTTACAGTATTTCAAACTCTTTCAACGCAACACAGATATTTCTCGATCCACATTCTAAACAAATTGAAGATTTTCGAGCCTTGTAAGTAATGAAATCTGTTTGTTTGTGTATACTTTTAGAGCTGTCATGAATACTAAAAGGAATGTCTTTTGTTAGATTGCCAACCAATACATTTGTGATATCCAATGAACATAAGGTGCAATCATCATCCACTAAGTCTGTTTCATGGAAAGATGAATTCTTTGATAGAAATGAAAGAAAGACAATTCAGGGTATTGTTTATGCCGATACGGTACGTGTTCATTAAGTTTATTTTAAATTTATACATAATAATTATTTGTTTTATATATTTTAGAATGATCTGTTTTTTAATATTTAAATCAAATTCTTTTCGAGTGTAGGAAATGAAATGTGTTACTGCTGCGACAGTTGTTCGAGTTGAATATAATCCTATATGGCATTATATTGCATGCAGAACTTGCGATAAAACAGTTCATCCAATAGAATCTGATTCTACCGATGACGATTCTTTGCTATTTGATTGTAGAGAATGTGGCGAGGCTGTCTCAGATGTTATAGCCAGGTAAATGGTTCATTGATTCAAAGTAGTTATTAGAAAAAAATTATTTTTGGCTTTACAAATATTCATATTTTCGTAGGTATAAGTTAGTGTTGATTGTTTCCGACAAGTCTGGCGAAGAGATAAGATTCTTACTGTTTGATAAAATCGCTAGCGCATTTCTCCGTGTTCAAGCACATACTTTAGCTGAGGAGGTTGCTGAGGTATATCATTTTATAATACTTTGTGCACATTATCATATAACCTTCTGTTATTTATGTGTAATGTCTTTTTATATTTTGAACAGGACGGAACTTTGGTGCTTCCACGAGCTCTTTCTGATTTGGTTGGGAAGAAGCTCCTTATCAAAATCGGAATAGGAACGGAGAATCTGACTAACAGACGTCAAACTTATAAAGTTGAGATCGTTGTCGATGATGCAGATATGTTGAATAAGTTTGAAAATCATGGAATTCGATCCCTCGAACATGATTTAGAACTTAGGTACTCAGGTAGAGTTGCATCACTGACACCATCGCCAGTATCAAAACGAGTTTCAGAAACAGCCGTTCAAACGCCTAATGTTGACGAAAAAAGTAATAGCAAGAAGAGAGGAAGACGGCAATGAACAAACACATACGTTTTGAAATCTTCGAACTGATATTCTTATAATTCTCGATGTTTTTTTTTTTTGGTTTTTCATATACTTTAGTACTGATATTTATGCATATTCGAATTTATGGTTTGTTTTTTTAGGATGCATTATTGATTCAAAGAACGAAAAATTCAAAACAAGTACTTAACTCTCTATATAAATTGCGTAGTAACACAACTTACTTTATTGTGGAATATTACAGTTTGTGCATATATGCAATTTTATATTTTAATATTATCATAGTTTCATAAATTAACACATGAAATCGTTAAAGTATATAAGATATCGATTATTCTATTAGTATTAAATATTTTATGAAATTAAACTAAAAAAAAGGATAAAAATAAAATGTTAAATTAGGTTGTTTCAATAAAGAAAAAATGAAAACCCTACAAATTATAGGAAAACCCTACATATGTTTAAATAGTGTTTCTCATGCACGTATTGTAATATCGTACAAAAAAGAAAAAGAAAACCTAATCAGAAAATATGGGGCCGAAGAAAAAGAGAATAACGAAACCTAGGGTCGTTAAGATACCTGTTGCAAATCGTCGTAAGTGTTTCTGTTTCTTTGAAAAAAATGCATGTATTGTTACTTTTGATATTCATCCTTAATACAGAAATCGTTTCAAGGGCTGAAACGTATGCACCAACGTTACCAAAATCAGTTTATCATCAATACATTGATATAGAATCTATTGGACGTGTTAGTATGGCTAAAATAGCCAGACAAAACAGACTGAATATCATTCGATCGAAGCGTGGTTTACCAACAATAAATAATTCAAAAGGTTATGTTGATTAAATACAATTTTATATTGATTTATATTAAATATATGTAACTAACTTCATCTGATTGTGTAAATTTATAGATATATTGACAGAGTCCGTTGATGTCGATGATGTTCTATGTTTTGTCGCTACTGATTCGGACACGGATGATGATAAAGATTCAGATGCTGTTCCGCCAAGTAATTCGAACAAACGACGACCAAGACAAAAAAAACCTATACCACCGAATTATCCTGAATACAATTCATTCGCGAGTTTTGGCTTGATGGAAAGTGGTACAAATCCAAACAAATTCCCTTTTATTAGTATATATACAAGTTATTATATTTTAAAATTTTAAAATCAATTATAGGTTATTATGATGATGGTGATCAATCTTACATGTGTGACTATTGCCATGCTTTAATGTGGTTTGGAGAACGTATAAACAAGCACTCTCTATCTTCTACTCCAGTTTTCACGATGTGCTGTCTAAGTGGCAAAGTTCAGCTACCTTTATTGAAAGCTCCCCCAAATACGTTGTTAAAGCTATTGTATAATCGCGATAACACGAGAAAACACTTCCGTGAATTCATAAGAGCATACAATATGATGTTTTCGTTTACGTCACTTGGTGGAAAGGTTGATAATACTATAAACAACGGTAATGGTCTGTATCTATTCCAAATGTGTGGTGAAAATTATCATTTGATCGGAGATATGTTACCAGCACCTGGAAAACAACCAAACTTCCTACAATTATATATCCATGATACCATCAACGAAGTTAAAAATAGGATGAATGCTTATGGGTAATCTTCGATTTTTATTATAATATAATATTATTATTTATCTATATCAATATAGTGTTTCATTTTTATAAATAATAATAGTTTCAAAATAACTGTTCAGGGATGTTGGTAATTCGAGGAAGCTGAGAGCAGATATCGTGGAGCTTCTGAAGAAGATGTTAGATGATCATAATCCTCATGTTAAAGCCTTAAGAACTGCACGCGAACGATTTGTTGGGAATCAAAATTCTAAAGGTTTTAAGTTGGTTCTTGCAAGTGGCCGAACTACTGATGGTCGAACGCATAACTTACCTACTGAGAACGATGTGGCGGCTTTGATACCTGGTGATTTCAATATGTTAACAGAAAAAAGAGACATCGTTATTCAAAGCAAGTCTGGAGGTTTATACCGTATAAGTGAGTTGCATCCGGCTTATTTACTTTTGCAGTATCCGTTATTGTTTCCGTATGGTGAAGATGGTTTTAGATTACGTATTGATATTGGCTATGTTGATACATCTGGAAGGAAACGCACAACCGTGACAATGCGCGAGTTTTTCGCATTTCGCATTCAAGACAGGCATGGAGAATCCCCAATCATTATGATGTCTGGGAGATTGTATCAGCAGTTTCTGGTTGACGCATATACGATGGTAGAATCAAATAGGCTTCGTTATATATGGCATAATCAAAAGAAGCTACGGTGTGACAGCTTTGATAAGTTATTGATCTTTCTGAACAAGGAAAAAAGGTGCTTATACCTGCTTCATTCACGGGAAGTAAGAGATTCATGAGGAAACATTATCTAGACGCGATGGCAACATGCAAGTACTACGGATACCCGGATTTTTTCATAACAATTACTTGCAATCCAAAATGGCCTGAGATAACGAGGTTTTTGGAAAAACATGATCTAAAGATCGAGGATCGACCAGATATTTGTTGCAGGATTTTTAAAATGAAGCTCGATAATTTAGTGAATTATCTAACGAAAGACCACGTTATGGGCCACATTAACTCAGGTATGTCAAAAAGATTAAATATAAGTAAAGAGTCATAATATATAAATCAAGCCAACTTATACTTAAAGTATAGGTACTAATTCGATTTATTACATGTATTTTTAACTTTTTCTAATTGTTTTACTTTTATTTCAGCGATGTATACCATTGAATTCCAAAACAGAGGATTGCCACATGCCCACATGGTTGTTTTCTTGAAACCCGAATCCAAACTACCAACAGGCGAGGACATAGATAGATTTATATCAGCAGAGATACCGGACAAGGACTTGGATCCAATTTTGTACGAAATTGTTGGAGACTTGATGATACATGGACCATGCGGTGATGACAATCCAAAAAATGTTTGTATGCATGAGAAAAGGTGTACAAAATTCTTTCCTAAGCCTACTGGATCAGTTACTAAAATCGATGATGCTGGCTTCCCCATCTATAGACGTCGTATGGATCAAAGAACCATTCTGAAGAGGGGTGTTTTGTGTGATAACCGATATGTTGTCCCATATAATCCAGATCTCTTAAAGCGTTTTCGGGCACATGTTAACGTTGAGTGGTGCAACCAAACCAGGTCTATAAAGTACCTATTCAAATATATAAACAAGGGTCCAGATTACATTAGAGCAGCAATCGAGGATGAAGACGGTAACCCCGTTATATCCCAAGATGAGGTTGAGCAACATTACAATTGCAGGTAACTTTGCGAAACTAATTTTTAAGATTAGATCGCTTGAATAATTACTTAAGTATGATTTAAAAAAAACAAGATTATTTATTTCTGTTTGATTTGCTCATTCTTAGATACATTTCACCGTATGAATCTTCATGGAGGCTTCTAAAGATTCCTACACAGTACCGAACCACGGCAGTAATGCAACTTTCGTTTCATTTGCCTCGTAAACAAATGTGTATATATCACGAAAGAGAGAGCGTTGACCAAGTCTTAAACAACGCATCGGTAGGTCAGTCACAATTTCTAGCGTGGATGGAGGCAAACAAGGAACATGCCTTGGCAAAGGAGCTAACATATGCTGATTTCCCAACAAAATTCGTCTGGGTCTCAAAGCAGCGGCAATGGAGAATACGAAAACAAGGTTTTGCCATATGCAGACTGGTGTATGTCTCACCTTCCGCTGAAGACGCATATCATTTGAGGATTCTTCTCAATATAGTCAAGGGCCCTGAGAGTTTTGATGACTTAAAAAAGGTTAATGGTGTTATATACTCTTCTTTCCGAAAAGCATGCTTTGCGCTTGGTTTGTTAGACGATGAAAAAGAATACATCGAAGGAATTAAAGAGGCCAGTTTTTGGGGAACTGGAAAGTTTCTTCGTAAACTTTTTGCTATAATGCTTCTTTCGAGTAGTGTAGCAGTTCCGATCAACGTCTGGAATGCTACTTGGAAAATATTAACTGAGGATTTATTATATCAGAAAAGGCGTGAAGAGAATGACCCAGGTAAGATGGATTTGAAATTTTAAACTATTTTACAAGATTCACATTATCTTAGTTGCTAACAGACTTATTTGTATATCTAGGTTTGGTGTTGACTGAAGCCCAATATAAGAATCTTGGTTTGTCAGATATAGAGAAGTATATGCGCAGAAACGGTCATTCATTATCCGACTATAAAGGAGAGATGCCAGTCCCTGATGATATTGGAAAGTATAAGAAATCAAATCATCTAATCCGGGATGAGAAATCATACGATCGTGCAAAACTTGCAAACAATCATGTCAAGTTGTTTTCAACAATAACCAATGAACAGAAGGATATCTACAATGAGATAATGGATGCAGTTACAAGAGGTATCGGTGGAATGTTTTTTGTTTATGGATATGGTGGGACAGGTAAAACGTACCTATGGAGGCTTTTAGGCGCTGCTCTTCGTTCTCAAGGAAAAATAGTTCTCAATGTTGCATCAAGTGGCACTGCAGCATTGTTATTAGAGGGAGGAAGAACAGCGCATTCTCGGTTTGGAATACCCATAGTTGTGAACGAGTATACATTCTGTAATGTGAGTTCTGGATCACACCAAGCAGAGCTGATTGAAGCAGCCGATCTTATTATATGGGATCAGGCTCCGATGATGAGCAAGCATTGTTTTGAGACATTGGATCGGACTATGCGTGATATACTAAAGTGTGATAAGGTCTTTGGTGGAAAGGTCGTTGTTTTGGGTGGTGACTTTCGACAAATACTCCCTGTTATTGTCGGAGGCAATAGCTCAGAGACTATATTGGCAACTGTGAATTCTTCTCATATTTGGTCTGATTGCAAAGTTCTGCAGCTAAAGACAAATATGAGACTGCTTCGTGGCGATAATGATTTTAATAATCAAGAAATTGAAGAATTCGCCAAGTGGATCTTGGATATTGGTGATGGAAAACTAAATATTCATGATACCATAGAAGATGAATTAGAAATTCCAGCGGATTTGCTGATAAGTGGAGAAGGTGATCCTGTTAAGAGAATAGTCTCGGAGATTTATGGTCAATCTTACACAACCACTCGTGAACCAGTTTTTTTTTCAGGAAAGGGCAATACTCAGTCCACGGAATCAGGATGTCGACGTTATCAATGAATTCATGCTATCAGAACTCAAAGGTCTTCGTTATATGATTTATCACAATTCCTTTTAATACGTATTTATATTATAATTAAAATATATCAGTACTAACATAGTTTGAATTGTTTTTATTAGGTGAGGAACATGAATACCTTAGTGCTGATAGCATTGATACTTCAGACACAAGCAAAATAGACGAAGTCGTCTATACACAGGAGTATCTTAATAGTATAAAGGTATCAGGGCTGCCAAATCATTCTCTCAAGTTAAAGATAGGAGCTCCAATAATGTTGCTTAGAAATATTGATCCTAAGGGTGGTTTGTGTAATGGTACGAGGTTGCTTATTACTTGGTTAGCTAGGCATGTAATCGAGGCAAGCTATATAACCGGGAAGAAAATAGGAAAAAAGGTTATCATACCTAGAATGTTTGTGTCACCACCAGAAGCAAGGTTTCCTTTTAGAATGCGCCGGAGGCAGTTTCCTATTACCATAGCTTTTGCTATGACTATAAACAAAAGTCAGGGTCAGACTCTACAAAAGGTGGGATTATATTTGCCAAAACCAGTGTTCTCGCATGGTCAACTTTATGTCGGCGTGTCTAGAGTTACATCACGCCAAGGGTTGAAGATTCTTATTACAGATAAGAATGGCAAAGCACAAAAGAAGACAATGAATGTTGTTTACAAAGACGTGTTTGAAAACATTTATAGAAATTTGCGGTTGGTTTGAATAAATTGTTTTGTTTGCTACTAAAAGTATGTTTAGATTACATTGGATATTAGTTATAATATTTTGGTGGTCATTGGTATTTTTAAACTGTTTTATCTTTTAAATTTTGTTATATTTAACTGATTTATCTTTTGGATCTTCTTATATTATGAATTAGTGTTCACTATGATAACGTTTTGAATAGCTCTGTTTGTTTGAATTAAATAATTAGTAAATGATCAGTTTTTATAATATATTTTTTTAAGTATATATATTAAATATTATACAAATCAATTTATAAGCTTCCAATTATGGTTTAAATATTACATTTTTAACTCAACAAACTTTCGAAATATGGATCGAATATTAAATTTAAAACACAAAAAACTGTTTAGGTATTATATTCAAAACTAACTTCAGCCCGCGCAAGCCAGCCACTTAGTTAAGTGATTAAAACATTTTTTTTTAAAGCAAAAACACATCTAGAACCTCTCCTAATACTACCATTGGAGCTGCTCAAGTGTCAAGAATGTTTAGACGCCTAACTTGATTTTGATTTCTCCATAAAGCGGGACATCTAACGGCTTAAATTTTTGAGCGACGTGAGAAGATTACTTCTAGACCGGACCAGGTTCCCTATATAAACCCCTGACCCAATCACAATTTTCGGATCCGAAGGAAAAAAGGCAAAAAAAAAAAAAGAAGACGACATAAGTCGAAAGAAATTAAAAGACGATTCCATGGCGGAAGAGAAGAGCTTCAAGTATGTGATCGTCGGAGGTGGTGTTGCCGCCGTAAGTCTCTGTTCCTCTCGTTTCGCTTTTGATTGGATTTGTGTTCTCTCTCCCTCTGTTTGCTTACGAATCATCACTCTGTACTGCTCACTGTTTCGCTTTGGATTCCGCACGATTGGTTCTTGTTGTTGAATCATTGATTTGTTTTCATTTCTTACGAAGTAGTTTCTGGGGATGATAGTATCTCTAGATCTATTGATTTTTTTCTTCTGATTCAGAAGAATTAGGAAGTAGATGAATATTGTGCTACTACTATTCGAGAACTTTCCCAATATAAGCACTTCTTTCTTTCTTAACAAAGTTTTAAATTCAGTTTTCTTTTTGTTTGTTTGGATGTTCTGGAATCACAGGGATATGCGGCGAGAGAGTTCTCTAAGCAAGGTCTCCAACCTCGGCCTTGAAAGTTATTTAGGCTAGCTCTGGCGATTCATATTATGTATTCTTGTTTTGTTTCTATGTGATTGATAGTTTTGGTAGTTCTGTGTTAAACAGGTTCCTCCATATGAGCGTCCTGCACTTAGCAAGGGATATATCAACCTCGAGAGTAATAACAATAGATCGATTGGTTTTAGTTGAGTCCTTGCTCGGTTCTTAACTAGATTATTGTTCTCATGGTACACAGATAAAGGTACACTTCCCGGTTTTTATGTCTGTGCTGGAAGTGGGGGAGAGAAACAGTTCCCTCAATGGTACAAAGAGAACGGTGGGTTTGGGTACTATCCACGAGACGCGGATGCGGTGGCCGGCGAAATAGGCAAGCTCCAGCAATGGTGAGAAAGTTGACTTGTAGTCTTGAGGAATTGTTTCAGGAGTTGTTCCCGAAGGTTTTGGGTTAGTTGCTCTCTCTCTCTCTCTCTCTCTCTCTCTCTCTCTCTCTCTCTCTCTCTCTCTCTCTCTCTCTCTCTCTCTCTCTCTCTCTCTCTCTCTCTCTCTCTCTCTCTCTCTCTCTCTCTCTCTCTCTCTCTCTCTCTCTCTCTCTCTCTCTCTCTCTCTCTCTCTCTCTCTCTCTCTCTCTCTCTCTCTCTCTCTCTCTCTCTCTCTCTCTCTCTCTCTCTCTCTCTCTCTCTCTCTCTCTCTCTCTCTCTCTCTCTCTCTCTCTCTCTCAATCCTCGGGTATTGTCATTAGACCGGGAGGTTAATCGATTTAAAATCGTTCCCCGATCTAGCCACATTCCCAATGAAACTCTACAATCAAATGAGACGTGTTGAACACATTGACCATGCTCGCAAGTCCGCTGAACAGGCCGTTAAGGTAATAAAGGGATAACACGAATGAGATTTATAGAATCCAAATTGAATCAATTGTATGGCTTTTGAAGGCAATCAAGGCCGCAGAAGAAGGGAAATCGATTCCTGAATATGACTATCTTCCATACTTTTACTCTCGAACCTTTGATCTCTCATGGCAATTCTATGGTGACAACGTTGGAGAAACCGTTTTGTTTGGAGATAATGACCCAAAATCGCCGAAGCCGAAATTCGGAAGCTATTGGATTAAAGAAAGGAAATTGATTGGAGCGTTTTTGGAAGGTGGAACTTTTGAAGAGAACAAGGCAATTGCTAAGGTCGCGCGAACGCAGCCTTCTGTTGAGAGCCTTGACGTGTTGTCTAAGGAAGGACTTTCCTTCGCCAGCAAAATTTAGAAAAGAAAACCAAATTGCTTCTAGGTTCTGACTTCTGTTGTGTGTTTGTGTGAGCTGTCTTGAGATTGAATGGCTTTATGCCATTTCGCTACTTAAAAAAAAAATCTACATTTTGGTTTTGGTTGTATTGGTTGCTTGGATTGTTTGGCTTAGAAATAAGAAAGGAGAAATTTGTTGTGTAAATTGTCCCACATCGACAATTACTAGGAAAGAAGAATGTGAGAACCCAATATAAATAGGGTGGTGTGCTCCTCAGTATTTATCGAGTATAGCCACACTGATAGGCCCACTAAGAATTTAACTTGGTGAGTTTCAAATAAGCCCGATGTAACCAGCGTATCCTCGGGTATTGTCATTAGACCGGGAGGTTAATCGCCGATCTATCTGACCGATTCAGTTCAAATTGCAGCCGTCGGTCACCGCCTAACGTTTAACCGTTTAACCGACCGGCCGGTTAATCTGTTAGGTTCCCGATTTATAGAGCATGGCTCATGCTATATGGTCCTTGTCTAGAGGCATCTTGATACCACTTAAATCAAGAGTGGTCGATAATTAAAAATGAAGTAAAGTGGAAGGAAAAAATGGAAGGAAACTCCTCCATTATTCAAACTTGTTATATCATCTTCTTCAAGTAAAATTTTTTCGAATTGAGCCGATGATAATATAAAATATATAGCATATAGCTTAGAAAAAATAGCATAGATGATTTTGATTTTCTAATTTTCAATTGATTATCTAAATCCTCAAATTTTTTTATATAAATTGGTCTAAAATATTATTGTTTTTTGTTACAGTTCTCACGACAATGACGACAAAAGACGTTGCATCAACTTCTGTTAATGCCAATCCTGTGAAAGTTACTGTAGCATGGGATTACCAGAACATGAAGAACGCTAGAAGCTGATATAGTGATCGTAGGTGTTGGTGCTAGACCTATTATATCACTCTTTAAAGGGCAAGTTGAAGAGGAAAAGGGCGGTTTGAAGGTTTGCGATTTAAAATACTTCATTTGTTGCACTATCTGAGATAGTTTGTGAAGTTTTTTTTTTGCGTTAACTCATGAGATATTTCTTCGAATGCAGACTGATGCATTCTTCAAAACGAACGTAGGTGATAGGTCACTCTGGTGTAGCAATGTTGCCTCTTCTCTTCGCGTCTACAATCAAATGAGACGTGTTGAACACGTTGACCGTGCTCGCAAGTCCGCTGAACAGGCCGTTAAGGTAATAAAGCGATAACATGAATGAGATTTATAGAATCCAAATTGAATCAATTGTATGGCTTTTGTGGGCAATCAAGGCCGCAGAAGAAGGGAAATCGATTCCTGAATATGACTATCTTCCATACTTTTACTCTCGAGCCTTTGATCTCTCATGGCAATTCTATGGTGACAACGTTGGAGAAACCGTTTTGTTTGGAGATAATGACCCAAAATCGCTGAAGCCGAAATTCGGAAGCTATTGGATTAAATAAGGGAAATTGATTGGAGCGTTTTTGGAAGGTGGAACTTTTGAAGAGAACAAGGCAATTGCTAAGGTCGCGCGAACGCAGCCTTCTGTTGAGAGCCTTGACGTGTTGTCTAAGGAAGGACTTTCCTTCGCCAGCAAAATTTAGAAAAGAAAACCAAATTGCTTCTAGGTTCTGACTTCTGTTGTGTGTTTGTGTGAGCTGTCTTGAGATTGAATGGCTTTATGCCATTTCGCTACTTAAAAAAAAAATCTACATTTTGGTTTTAGTTGTATTGGTTGCTTGGATTGTTTGGCTTAGAAATAAGAAAGGAGAAATTTGTTGTGTAAATTGTCCCACATCGACAATTACTAGGAAAGAAGAATGTGAGAACCCAATATAAATAGGGTGGTGTGCTCCTCAGTATTTATCGAGTATAGCCACACTGATAGGCCCACTAAGAATTTAACTTGGTGAGTTTCAAATAAGCCCGATGTAACCAGCGTATCCTCGGGTATTGTCATTAGACCGGGAGGTTAATCGATTTAAAATCGTTCCCCGATCTATCTGACCGATTCAGTTCAAATTGCAGCCGTCGGTCACCGCCTAACGTTTAACCGACCGGCCGGTTAATCTGTTAGGTTCCCGATTTATAGAGCATGGCTCATGCTATATGGTCCTTGTCTAGAGGCATCTTGATACCACTTAAATCAAGAGTGGTCGATAATTAAAAATGAAGTAAAGTGGAAGGAAAAAATGGAAGGAAACTCCTCCATTATTCAAACTTGTTATATCATCTTCTTCAAGTAGAATTTTTTCGAATTGAGCCGATGATAATATAAAATATATAGCATATAGCTTAGAAAAAATAGCATAGATGATTTTGATTTTCTAATTTTCAATTGATTATCTAAATCCTCAAATTTTTTTATATAAATTGGTCTAAAATATTATTGTTTTTTGTTACAGTTCTCACGACAATGACGACAAAAGACGTTGCATCAACTTCTGTTAATGCCAATGCTGTGAAAGTTACTGTAGCATGGGATTACCAGAACATGAAGAACGCTAGAAGCTGATATAGTGATCGTAGGTGTTGGTGCTAGACCTATTATATCACTCTTTAAAGGGCAAGTTGAAGAGGAAAAGGGCGGTTTGAAGGTTTGCGATTTAAAATACTTCATTTGTTGCACTATCTGAGATAGTTTGTGAAGTTTTTTTTTTGCGTTAACTCATGAGATATTTCTTCGAATGCAGACTGATGCATTCTTCAAAACGAACGTTCCGGATGTATACGCCATTGGTGATATAGCCACATTCCCAATGAAACTCTACAATCAAATGAGACGTGTTGAACACGTTGACCATGCTCGCAAGTCCGCTGAACAGGCCGTTAAGGTAATAAAGCGATAACACGAATGAGATTTATAGAATCCAAATTGAATCAATTGTATGGCTTTTGTAGGCAATCAAGGCCGCAGAAGAAGGGAAATCGATTCCTGAATATGACTATCTTCCATACTTTTACTCTCGAGCCTTTGATCTCTCATGGCAATTCTATGGTGACAACGTTGGAGAAACCGTTTGTTTGGAGATAATGACCCAAAATCGCCGAAGCCGAAATTCGGAAGCTATTGGATTAAAGAAAGGAAATTGATTGGAGCGTTTTTGGAAGGTGGAACTTTTGAAGAGAACAAGGCAATTGCTAAGGTCGCGCGAACGCAGCCTTCTGTTGAGAGCCTTGACGTGTTGTCTAAGGAAGGACTTTCCTTCGCCAGCAAAATTTAGAAAAGAAAACCAAATTGCTTCTAGGTTCTGACTTCTGTTGTGTGTTTGTGTGAGCTGTCTTGAGATTGAATGGCTTTATGCCATTTCGCTACTTAAAAAAAAAATCTACATTTTGGTTTTGGTTGTATTGGTTGCTTGGATTGTTTGGCTTAGAAATAAGAAAGGAGAAATTTGTTGTGTAAATTGTCCCACATCGACAATTACTAGGAAAGAAGAATGTGAGAACCCAATATAAATAGGGTGGTGTGCTCCTCAGTATTTATCGAGTATAGCCACACTGATAGGCCCACTAAGAATTTAACTTGGTGAGTTTCAAATAAGCCCGATGTAACCAGCGTATCCTCGGGTATTGTAATTAGACCGGGAGGTTAATCGATTTAAAATCGTTCCTCGATCTATCTGACCGATTCAGTTCAAATTGCAGCCGTCGGTCACCGCCTAACGTTTAACCGACCGGCCGGTTAATCTGTTAGGTTCCCGATTTATAGAGCATGGCTCATGCTATATGGTCCTTGTCTAGAGGCATCTTGATACCACTTAAATCAAGAGTGGTCGATAATTAAAAATGAAGTAAAGTGGAAGGAAAAAATGGAAGGAAACTCCTCCATTATTCAAACTTGTTATATCATCTTCTTCAAGTAGAATTTTTTCGAATTGAGCCGATGATAATATAAAATATATAGCATATAGCTTAGAAAAAATAGCATAGATGATTTTGATTTTCTAATTTTCAATTGATTATCTAAATCCTCAAATTTTTTTATATAAATTGGTCTAAAATATTATTGTTTTTTTGTTACAGTTCTCACGACAATGACGACAAAAGACGTTGCATCAACTTCTGTTAATGCCAATGCTGTGAAAGTTACTGTAGCATGGGATTACCAGAACATGAAGAACGCTAGAAGCTGATATAGTGATCGTAGGTGTTGGTGCTAGACCTATTATATCACTCTTTAAAGGGCAAGTTGAAGAGGAAAAGGGCAGTTTGAAGGTTTGCGATTTAAAATACTTCATTTGTTGCACTATCTGAGATAGTTTGTGAAGTTTTTTTTTTGCGTTAACTCATGAGATATTTCTTCGAATGCAGACTGATGCATTCTTCAAAACGAACGTTCCGGATGTATACGCCATTGGTGATATAGCCACATTCCCAATGAAACTCTACAATCAAATGAGACGTGTTGAACACGTTGACCATGCTCGCAAGTCCGCTGAACAGGCCGTTAAGGTAATAAAGCGATAACACGAATGAGATTTATAGAATCCAAATTGAATCAATTGTATGGCTTTTGTAGGCAATCAAGGCCGCAGAAGAAGGGAAATCGATTCCTGAATATGACTATCTTCCATACTTTTACTCTCGAGCCTTTGATCTCTCATGGCAATTCTATGGTGACAACGTTGGAGAAACCGTTTTGTTTGGAGATAATGACCCAAAATCGCCGAAGCCAAAATTCGGAAGCTATTGGATTAAAGAAAGGAAATTGATTGGAGCGTTTTTGGAAGGTGGAACTTTTGAAGAGAACAAGGCAATTGCTAAGGTCGCGCGAACGCAGCCTTCTGTTGAGAGCCTTGACGTGTTGTCTAAGGAAGGACTTTCCTTCGCCAGCAAAATTTAGAAAAGAAAACCAAATTGCTTCTAGGTTCTGACTTCTGTTGTGTGTTTGTGTGAGCTGTCTTGAGATTGAATGGCTTTATGCCATTTCGCTACTTAAAAAAAAAATCTACATTTTGGTTTTAGTTGTATTGGTTGCTTGGATTGTTTGGCTTAGAAATAAGAAAGGAGAAATTTGTTGTGTAAATTGTCCCACATCGACAATTACTAGGAAAGAAGAATGTGAGAACCCAATATAAATAGGGTGGTGTGCTCCTCAGTATTTATCGAGTATAGCCACACTGATAGGCCCACTAAGAATTTAACTTGGTGAGTTTCAAATAAGCCCGATGTAACCAGCGTATCCTCGGGTATTGTCATTAGACCGGGAGGTTAATCGATTTAAAATAGTTCCCCGATCTATCTGACCGATTCAGTTCAAATTGCAGCCGTCGGTCACCGCCTAACGTTTAACCGACCGGCCGGTTAATCTGTTAGGTTCCCGATTTATAGAGCATGGCTCATGCTATATGGTCCTTGTCTAGAGGCATCTTGATACCACTTAAATCAAGAGTGGTCGATAATTAAAAATGAAGTAAAGTGGAAGGAAAAAATGGAAGGAAACTCCTCCATTATTCAAACTTGTTATATCATCTTCTTCAAGTAGAATTTTTTCGAATTGAGCCGATGATAATATAAAATATATAGCACATAGCTTAGAAAAAATAACATAGATGATTTTGATTTTCTAATTTTCAATTGATTATCTAAATCCTCAAATTTTTTTATATAAATTCGTCTAAAATATTATTGTTTTTTTGTTACAGTTCTCACGACAATGACGACAAAAGACGTTGCATCAACTTCTGTTAATGCCAATCCTGTGAAAGTTACTGTAGCATGGGATTACCAGAACATGAAGAACGCTAGAAGCTGATATAGTGATCGTAGGTGTTGGTGCTAGACCTATTATATCACTCTTTAAAGGGCAAGTTGAAGAGGAAAAGGGCAGTTTGAAGGTTTGCGATTTAAAATACTTCATTTGTTGCACTATCTGAGATAGTTTGTGAAGTTTTTTTTTTTGCGTTAACTCATGAGATATTTCTTCGAATGCAGACTGATGCATTCTTCAAAACGAACGTTCCGGATGTATACGCCATTGGTGATATAGCCACATTCCCAATGAAACTCTACAATCAAATGAGACGTGTTGAACACATTGACCATGCTCGCAAGTCCGCTGAACAGGCCGTTAAGGTAATAAAGCGATAACACGAATGAGATTTATAGAATCCAAATTGAATCAATTGTATGGCTTTTGTAGGCAATCAAGGCCGCAGAAGAAGGGAAATCGATTCCTGAATATGACTATCTTCCATACTTTTACTCTCGAGCCTTTGATCTCTCATGGCAATTCTATGGTGACAACGTTGGAGAAACCGTTTTGTTTGGAGATAATGAACCAAAATCGCCGAAGCCGAAATTCGGAAGCTATTGGATTAAAGAAAGGAAATTGATTGGAGCGTTTTTGGAAGGTGGAACTTTTGAAGAGAACAAGGCAATTGCTAAGGTCGCGCGAACGCAGCCTTCTGTTGAGAGCCTTGACGTGTTGTCTAAGGAAGGACTTTCCTTCGCCAGCAAAATTTAGAAAAGAAAACCAAATTGCTTCTAGGTTCTGACTTCTGTTGTGTGTTTGTGTGAGCTGTCTTGAGATTGAATGGCTTTATGCCATTTCGCTACTTAAAAAAAAAATCTACATTTTGGTTTTGGTTGTATTGGTTGCTTGGATTGTTTGGCTTAGAAATAAGAAAGGAGAAATTTGTTGTGTAAATTGTCCCACATCGACAATTACTAGGAAAGAAGAATGTGAGAACCCAATATAAATAGGGTGGTGTGCTCCTCAGTATTTATCGAGTATAGCCACACTGATAGGCCCACTAAGAATTTAACTTGGTGAGTTTCAAATAAGCCCGATGTAACCAGCGTATCCTCGGGTATTGTCATTAGACCGGGAGGTTAATCGATTTAAAATAGTTCCCCGATCTATCTGACCGATTCAGTTCAAATTGCAGCCGTCGGTCACCGCCTAACGTTTAACCGACCGGCCGGTTAATCTGTTAGGTTCCCGATTTATAGAGCATGGCTCATGCTATATGGTCCTTGTCTAGAGGCATCTTGATACCACTTAAATCAAGAGTGGTCGATAATTAAAAATGAAGTAAAGTGGAAGGAAAAAATGGAAGGAAACTCCTCCATTATTCAAACTTGTTATATCATCTTCTTCAAGTAGAATTTTTTCGAATTGAGCCGATGATAATATAAAATATATAGCATATAGCTTAGAAAAAATAGCATAGATGATTTTGATTTTCTAATTTTCAATTGATTATCTAAATCCTCAAATTTTTTTATATAAATTGGTCTAAAATATTATTGTTTTTTTGTTACAGTTCTCACGACAATGACGACAAAAGACGTTGCATCAACTTCTGTTAATGCCAATCCTGTGAAAGTTACTGTAGCATGGGATTACCAGAACATGAAGAACGCTAGAAGCTGATATAGTGATCGTAGGTGTTGGTGCTAGACCTATTATATCACTCTTTAAAGGGCAAGTTGAAGAGGAAAAGGGCAGTTTGAAGGTTTGCGATTTAAAATACTTCATTTGTTGCACTATCTGAGATAGTTTGTGAAGTTTTTTTTTTGCGTTAACTCATGAGATATTTCTTCGAATGCAGACTGATGCATTCTTCAAAACGAACGTTCCGGATGTATACGCCATTGGTGATATAGCCACATTCCCAATGAAACTCTACAATCAAATGAGACGTGTTGAACACGTTGACCATGCTCGCAAGTCCGCTGAACAGGCCGTTAAGGTAATAAAGCGATAACACGAATAAGATTTATAGAATCCAAATTGAATCAATTGTATGGCTTTTGTAGGCAATCAAGGCCGCAGAAGAAGGGAAATCGATTCCTGAATATGACTATCTTCCATACTTTTACTCTCGAGCCTTTGATCTCTCATGGCAATTCTATGGTGACAACGTTGGAGAAACCGTTTTGTTTGGAGATAATGACCCAAAATCGCCGAAGCCGAAATTCGGAAGCTATTGGATTAAAGAAAGGAAATTGATTGGAGCGTTTTTGGAAGGTGGAACTTTTGAAGAGAACAAGGCAATTGCTAAGGTCGCGCGAACGCAGCCTTCTGTTGAGAGCCTTGACGTGTTGTCTAAGGAAGGACTTTCCTTCGCCAGCAAAATTTAGAAAAGAAAACCAAATTGCTTCTAGGTTCTGACTTCTGTTGTGTGTTTGTGTGAGCTGTCTTGAGATTGAATGGCTTTATGCCATTTCGCTACTTAAAAAAAAAATCTACATTTTGGTTTTAGTTGTATTGGTTGCTTGGATTGTTTGGCTTAGAAATAAGAAAGGAGAAATTTGTTGTGTAAATTGTCCCACATCGACAATTACTAGGAAAGAAGAATGTGAGAACCCAATATAAATAGGGTGGTGTGCTCCTCAGTATTTATCGAGTATAGCCACACTGATAGGCCCACTAAGAATTTAACTTGGTGAGTTTCAAATAAGCCCGATGTAACCAGCGTATCCTCGGGTATTGTCATTAGACCGGGAGGTTAATCGATTTAAAATAGTTCCCCGATCTATCTGACCGATTCAGTTCAAATTGCAGCCGTCGGTCACCGCCTAACGTTTAACCGACCGGCCGGTTAATCTGTTAGGTTCCCGATTTATAGAGCATGGCTCATGCTATATGGTCCTTGTCTAGAGGCATCTTGATACCACTTAAATCAAGAGTGGTCGATAATTAAAAATGAAGTAAAGTGGAAGGAAAAAATGGAAGGAAACTCCTCCATTATTCAAACTTGTTATATCATCTTCTTCAAGTAGAATTTTTTCGAATTGAGCCGATGATAATATAAAATATATAGCATATAGCTTAGAAAAAATAGCATAGATGATTTTGATTTTCTAATTTTCAATTGATTATCTAAATCCTCAAATTTTTTTATATAAATTGGTCTAAAATATTATTGTTTTTTTGTTACAGTTCTCACGACAATGACGACAAAAGACGTTGCATCAACTTCTGTTAATGCCAATGCTGTGAAAGTTACTGTAGCATGGGATTACCAGAACATGAAGAACGCTAGAAGCTGATATAGTGATCGTAGGTGTTGGTGCTAGACCTATTATATCACTCTTTAAAGGGCAAGTTGAAGAGGAAAAGGGCAGTTTGAAGGTTTGCGATTTAAAATACTTCATTTGTTGCACTATCTGAGATAGTTTGTGAAGTTTTTTTTTTGCGTTAACTCATGAGATATTTCTTCGAATGCAGACTGATGCATTCTTCAAAACGAACGTTCCGGATGTATACGCCATTGGTGATATAGCCACATTCCCAATGAAACTCTACAATCAAATGAGACGTGTTGTACACGTTGACCATGCTCGCAAGTCTGCTGAACAGGCCGTTAAGGTAATAAAGCGATAACACGAATAAGATTTATAGAATCCAAATTGAATCAATTGTATGGCTTTTGTAGGCAATCAAGGCCGCAGAAGAAGGGAAATCGATTCCTGAATATGACTATCTTCCATACTTTTACTCTCGAGCCTTTGATCTCTCATGGCAATTCTATGGTGACAACGTTGGAGAAACCGTTTTGTTTGGAGAAAATGACCCAAAATCGCCGAAGCCGAAATTCGGAAGCTATTGGATTAAAGAAGGGAAATTGATTGGAGCGTTTTTGGAAGGTGGAACTTTTGAAGAGAACAAGGCAATTGCTAAGGTCGCGCGAACGCAGCCTTCTGTTGAGAGCCTTGACGTGTTGTCTAAGGAAGGACTTTCCTTCGCCAGCAAAATTTAGAAAAGAAAACCAAATTGCTTCTAGGTTCTGACTTCTGTTGTGTGTTTGTGTGAGCTGTCTTGAGATTGAATGGCTTTATGCCATTTCGCTACTTAAAAAAAAATCTACATTTTGGTTTTAGTTGTATTGGTTGTTTGGATTGTTTGGCTTAGAAATAAGAAAGGAGAAATTTGTTGTGTAAATTGTCCCACATCGACAATTACTAGGAAAGAAGAATGTGAGAACCCAATATAAATAGGGTGGTGTGCTCCTCAGTATTTATCGAGTATAGCCACACTGATAGGCCCACTAAGAATTTAACTTGGTGAGTTTCAAATAAGCCCGATGTAACCAGCGTATCCTCGGGTATTGTCATTAGACCGGGAGGTTAATCGATTTAAAATCGTTCCCCGATCTATCTGACCGATTCAGTTCAAATTGCAGCCGTCGGTCACCGCCTAACGTTTAACCGACCGGCCGGTTAATCTGTTAGGTTCCCGATTTATAGAGCATGGCTCATGCTATATGGTCCTTGTCTAGAGGCATCTTGATACCACTTAAATCAAGAGTGGTCGATAATTAAAAATGAAGTAAAGTGGAAGGAAAAAATGGAAGGAAACTCCTCCATTATTCAAACTTGTTATATCATCTTCTTCAAGTAGAATTTTTTCGAATTGAGCCGATGATAATATAAAATATATAGCATATAGCTTAGAAAAAATAGCATAGATGATTTTGATTTTCTAATTTTCAATTGATTATCTAAATCCTCAAATTTTTTTATATAAATTGGTCTAAAATATTATTGTTTTTTTGTTACAGTTCTCACGACAATGACGACAAAAGACGTTGCATCAACTTCTGTTAATGCCAATGCTGTGAAAGTTACTGTAGCATGGGATTACCAGAACATGAAGAACGCTAGAAGCTGATATAGTGATCGTAGGTGTTGGTGCTAGACCTATTATATCACTCTTTAAAGGGCAAGTTGAAGAGGAAAAGGGCGGTTTGAAGGTTTGCGATTTAAAATACTTCATTTGTTGCACTATCTGAGATAGTTTGTGAAGTTTTTTTTTTGCGTTAACTCATGAGATATTTCTTCGAATGCAGACTGATGCATTCTTCAAAACGAACGTTCCGGATGTATACGCCATTGGTGATATAGCCACATTCCCAATGAAACTCTACAATCAAATGAGACGTGTTGAACACGTTGACCATGCTCGCAAGTCCGCTGAACAGGCCGTTAAGGTAATAAAGCGATAACACGAATGAGATTTATAGAATCCAAATTGAATCAATTGTATGGCTTTTGTAGGCAATCAAGGCCGCAGAAGAAGGGAAATCGATTCCTGAATATGACTATCTTCCATACTTTTACTCTCGAGCCTTTGATCTCTCATGGCAATTCTATGGTGACAACGTTGGAGAAACCGTTTTGTTTGGAGAAAATGACCCAAAATCGCCGAAGCCGAAATTCGGAAGCTATTGGATTAAAGAAGGGAAATTGATTGGAGCGTTTTTGGAAGGTGGAACTTTTGAAGAGAACAAGGCAATTGCTAAGGTCGCGCGAACGCAGCCTTCTGTTGAGAGCCTTGACGTGTTGTCTAAGGAAGGACTTTCCTTCGCCAGCAAAATTTAGAAAAGAAAACCAAATTGCTTCTAGGTTCTGACTTCTGTTGTGTGTTTGTGTGAGCTGTCTTGAGATTGAATGGCTTTATGTCATTTCGCTACTTAAAAAAAAAATCTACATTTTGGTTTTAGTTGTATTGGTTGCTTGGATTGTTTGGCTTAGAAATAAGAAAGGAGAAATTTGTTGTGTAAATTGTCCCACATCGACAATTACTAGGAAAGAAGAATGTGAGAACCCAATATAAATAGGGTGGTGTGCTCCTCAGTATTTATCGAGTATAGCCACACTGATAGGCCCACTAAGAATTTAACTTGGTGAGTTTCAAATAAGCCCGATGTAACCAGCGTATCCTCGGGTATTGTCATTAGACCGGGAGGTTAATCGATTTAAAATAGTTCCCCGATCTATCTGACCGATTCAGTTCAAATTGCAGCCGTCGGTCACCGCCTAACGTTTAACCGACCGGCCGGTTAATCTGTTAGGTTCCCGATTTATAGAGCATGGCTCATGCTATATGGTCCTTGTCTAGAGGCATCTTGATACCACTTAAATCAAGAGTGGTCGATAATTAAAAATGAAGTAAAGTGGAAGGAAAAAATGGAAGGAAACTCCTCCATTATTCAAACTTGTTATATCATCTTCTTCAAGTAGAATTTTTTCGAATTGAGCCGATGATAATATAAAATATATAGCATATAGCTTAGAAAAAATAGCATAGATGATTTTGATTTTCTAATTTTCAATTGATTATCTAAATCCTCAAATTTTTTTATATAAATTGGTCTAAAATATTATTGTTTTTTTGTTACAGTTCTCACGACAATGACGACAAAAGACGTTGCATCAACTTCTGTTAATGCCAATGCTGTGAATGTTACTGTAGCATGGGATTACCAGAACATGAAGAACGCTAGAAGATGATATAGTGATCGTAGGTGTTGGTGCTAGACCTATTATATCACTCTTTAAAGGGCAAGTTGAAGAGGAAAAGGGCAGTTTGAAGGTTTGCGATTTAAAATACTTCATTTGTTGCACTATCTGAGATAGTTTGTGAAGTTTTTTTTTTGCGTTAACTCATGAGATATTTCTTCGAATGCAGACTGATGCATTCTTCAAAACGAACGTTCCGGATGTATACGCCATTGGTGATATAGCCACATTCCCAATGAAACTCTACAATCAAATGAGACGTGTTGAACACGTTGACCATGCTCGCAAGTCCGCTGAACAGGCCGTTAAGGTAATAAAGCGATAACACGAATAAGATTTATAGAATCCAAATTGAATCAATTGTATGGCTTTTGTAGGCAATCAAGGCCGCAGAAGAAGGGAAATCGATTCCTGAATATGACTATCTTCCATACTTTTACTCTCGAGCCTTTGATCTCTCATGGCAATTCTATGGTGACAACGTTGGAGAAACCGTTTTGTTTGGAGATAATGACCCAAAATCGCCGAAGCCGAAATTCGGAAGCTATTGGATTAAAGAAAGGAAATTGATTGGAGCGTTTTTGGAAGGTGGAACTTTTGAAGAGAACAAGGCAATTGCTAAGGTCGCGCGAACGCAGCCTTCTGTTGAGAGCCTTGACGTGTTGTCTAAGGAAGGACTTTCCTTCGCCAGCAAAATTTAGAAAAGAAAACCAAATTGCTTCTAGGTTCTGACTTCTGTTGTGTGTTTGTGTGAGCTGTCTTGAGATTGAATGGCTTTATGCCATTTCGCTACTTAAAAAAAAATCTACATTTTGGTTTTGGTTGTATTGGTTGCTTGGATTGTTTGGCTTAGAAATAAGAAAGGAGAAATTTGTTGTGTAAATTGTCCCACATCGATAATTACTAGGAAAGAAGAATGTGAGAACCCAATATAAATAGGGTGGTGTGCTCCTCAGTATTTATCGAGTATAGCCACACTGATAGGCCCACTAAGAATTTAACTTGGTGAGTTTCAAATAAGCCCGATGTAACCAGCGTATCCTCGGGTATTGTCATTAGACCGGGAGGTTAATCGATTTAAAATCGTTCCCCGATCTATCTGACCGATTCAGTTCAAATTGCAGCCGTCGGTCACCGCCTAACGTTTAACCGACCGGCCGGTTAATCTGTTAGGTTCCCGATTTATAGAGCATGGCTCATGCTATATGGTCCTTGTCTAGAGGCATCTTGATACCACTTAAATCAAGAGTGGTCGATAATTAAAAATGAAGTAAAGTGGAAGGAAAAACCTCCATTATTCAAACTTGTTATATCATCTTCTTCAAGTAGAATTTTTTCGAATTGAGCCGATGATAATATAAAATATATAGCATATAGCTTAGAAAAAATAGCATAGATGATTTTGATTTTCTAATTTTCAATTGATTATCTAAATCCTCAAATTTTTTTATATAAATTGATATAAATTGGTCTAAAATATTATTGTTTTTTGTTACAGTTCTCACGACAATGACGACAAAAGACGTTGCATCAACTTCTGTTAATGCCAATGCTGTGAAAGTTACTGTAGCATGGGATTACCAGAACATGAAGAACGCTAGAAGCTGATATAGTGATCGTAGTTGTTGGTGCTAGACCTATTATATCACTCTTTAAAGGGCAAGTTGAAGAGGAAAAGGGCGGTTTGAAGGTTTGCGATTTAAAATACTTCATTTGTTGCACTATCTGAGATAGTTTGTGAAGTTTTTTTTTTGCGTTAACTCATGAGATATTTCTTCGAATGCAGACTGATGCATTCTTCAAAACGAACGTTCCGGATGTATACGCCATTGGTGATATAGCCACATTCCCAATGAAACTCTACAATCAAATGAGACGTGTTGAACACGTTGACCATGCTCGCAAGTCCGCTGAACAGGCCGTTAAGGTAATAAAGCGATAACACGAATGAGATTTATAGAATCCAAATTGAATCAATTGTATGGCTTTTGTAGGCAATCAAGGCCGCAGAAGAAGGGAAATCGATTCCTGAATATGACTATCTTCCATACTTTTACTCTCGAGCCTTTGATCTCTCATGGCAATTCTATGGTGACAACGTTGGAGAAACCTTTTTGTTTGGAGATAATGACCCAAAATCGCCGAAGCCGAAATTCGGAAGCTATTGGATTAAATAAGGGAAATTGATTGGAGCGTTTTTGGAAGGTGGAACTTTTGAAGAGAACAAGGCAATTGCTAAGGTCGCGCGAACGCAGCCTTCTGTTGAGAGCCTTGACGTGTTGTCTAAGGAAGGACTTTCCTTCGCCAGCAAAATTTAGAAAAGAAAACCAAATTGCTTCTAGGTTCTGACTTCTGTTGTGTGTTTGTGTGAGCTGTCTTGAGATTGAATGGCTTTATGCCATTTCGCTACTTAAAAAAAAAATCTACATTTTGGTTTTAGTTGTATTGGTTGCTTGGATTGTTTGGCTTAGAAATAAGAAAGGAGAAATTTGTTGTGTAAATTGTCCCACATCGACAATTACTAGGAAAGAAGAATGTGAGAACCCAATATAAATAGGGTGGTGTGCTCCTCAGTATTTATCGAGTATAGCCACACTGATAGGCCCACTAAGAATTTAACTTGGTGAGTTTCAAATAAGCCCGATGTAACCAGCGTATCCTCGGGTATTGTCATTAGACCGGGAGGTTAATCGATTTAAAATCGTTCCCCGATCTATCTGACCGATTCAGTTCAAATTGCAGCCGTCGGTCACCGCCTAACGTTTAACCGACCGGCCGGTTAATCTGTTAGGTTCCCGATTTATAGAGCATGGCTCATGCTATATGGTCCTTGTCTAGAGGCATCTTGATACCACTTAAATCAAGAGTGGTCGATAATTAAAAGTGAAGTAAAGTGGAAGGAAAAAATGGAAGGAAACTCCTCCATTATTCAAACTTGTTATATCATCTTCTTCCAGTAGAATTTTTTCGAATTGAGACGATGATAATATAAAATATATAGCATATAGCTTAGAAAAAATAGCATAGATGATTTTGATTTTCTAATTTTCAATTGATTATCTAAATCCTCAAATTTTTTTATATAAATTGGTCTAAAATATTATTGTTTTTTGTTACAGTTCTCACGACAATGACGACAAAAGACGTTGCATCAACTTCTGTTAATGCCAATGCTGTGAAAGTTACTGTAGCATGGGATTACCAGAACATGAAGAACGCTAGAAGCTGATATAGTGATCGTAGGTGTTGGTGCTAGACCTATTATATCACTCTTTAAAGGGCAAGTTGAAGAGGAAAAGGGCAGTTTGAAGGTTTGCGATTTAAAATACTTCATTTGTTGCACTATCTGAGATAGTTTGTGAAGTTTTTTTTTTGCGTTAACTCATGAGATATTTCTTCGAATGCAGACTGATGCATTCTTCAAAACGAACGTTCCGGATGTATACGCCATTGGTGATATAGCCACATTCCCAATGAAACTCTACAATCAAATGAGACGTGTTGAACACGTTGACCATGCTCGCAAGTCCGCTGAACAGGCCGTTAAGGTAATAAAGCGATAACACGAATGAGATTTATAGAATCCAAATTGAATCAATTGTATGGCTTTTGTAGGCAATCAAGGCCGCAGAAGAAGGGAAATCGATTCCTGAATATGACTATCTTCCATACTTTTACTCTCGAGCCTTTGATCTCTCATGGCAATTCTATGGTGACAACGTTGGAGAAACCGTTTTGTTTGGAGATAATGACCCAAAATCGCCGAAGCCGAAATTCGGAAGCTATTGGATTAAAGAAGGGAAATTGATTGGAGCGTTTTTGGAAGGTGGAACTTTTGAAGAGAACAAGGCAATTGCTAAGGTCGCGCGAACGCAGCCTTCTGTTGAGAGCCTTGACGTGTTGTCTAAGGAAGGACTTTCCTTCGCCAGCAAAATTTAGAAAAGAAAACCAAATTGCTTCTAGGTTCTGACTTCTGTTGTGTGTTTGTGTGAGCTGTCTTGAGATTGAATGGCTTTATGCCATTTCGCTACTTAAAAAAAAAATCTACATTTTGGTTTTAGTTGTATTGGTTGCTTGGATTGTTTGGCTTAGAAATAAGAAAGGAGAAATTTGTTGTGTAAATTGTCCCACATCGACAATTACTAGGAAAGAAGAATGTGAGAACCCAATATAAATAGGGTGGTGTGCTCCTCAGTATTTATCGAGTATAGCCACACTGATAGGCCCACTAAGAATTTAACTTGGTGAGTTTCAAATAAGCCCGATGTAACCAGCGTATCCTCGGGTATTGTCATTAGACCGGGAGGTTAATCGATTTAAAATAGTTCCCCGATCTATCTGACCGATTCAGTTCAAATTGCAGCCGTCGGTCACCGCCTAACGTTTAACCGACCGGCCGGTTAATCTGTTAGGTTCCCGATTTATAGAGCATGGCTCATGCTATATGGTCCTTGTCTAGAGGCATCTTGATACCACTTAAATCAAGAGTGGTCGATAATTAAAAATGAAGTAAAGTGGAAGGAAAAAATGGAAGGAAACTCCTCCATTATTCAAACTTGTTATATCATCTTCTTCAAGTAGAATTTTTTCGAATTGAGCCGATGATAATATAAAATATATAGCATATAGCTTAGAAAAAATAGCATAGATGATTTTGATTTTCTAATTTTCAATTGATTATCTAAATCCTCAAATTTTTTTATATAAATTGGTCTAAAATATTATTGTTTTTTTGTTACAGTTCTCACGACAATGACGACAAAAGACGTTGCATCAACTTCTGTTAATGCCAATGCTATGAAAGTTACTGTAGCATGGGATTACCAGAACATGAAGAACGCTAGAAGCTGATATAGTGATCGTAGGTGTTGGTGCTAGACCTATTATATCACTCTTTAAAGGGCAAGTTGAAGAGGAAAAGGGCGGTTTGAAGGTTTGCGATTTAAAATACTTCATTTGTTGCACTATCTGAGATAGTTTGTGAAGTTTTTTTTTTGCGTTAACTCATGAGATATTTCTTCGAATGCAGACTGATGCATTCTTCAAAACGAACGTTCCGGATGTATACGCCATTGGTGATATAGCCACATTCCCAATGAAACTCTACAATCAAATGAGACGTGTTGTACACGTTGACCATGCTCGCAAGTCTGCTGAACAGGCCGTTAAGGTAATAAAGCGATAACACGAATGAGATTTATATAATCCAAATTGAATCAATTGTATGGCTTTTGTAGGCAATCAAGGCCGCAGAAGAATGGAAATCAATTCCTGAATATGACTATCTTCCATACTTTTACTCTCGAGCCTTTGATCTCTCATGGCAATTCTATGGTGACAACGTTGGAGAAACCGTTTTGTTTGGAGATAATGACCCAAAATCGCCGAAGCCAAAATTCGGAAGCTATTGGATTAAAGAAGGGAAATTGATTGGAGCGTTTTTGGAAGGTGGAACTTTTGAAGAGAACAAGGCAATTGCTAAGGTCGCGCGAACGCAGCCTTCTGTTGAGAGCTTGACGTGTTGTCTAAGGAAGGACTTTCCTTCGCCAGCAAAATTTAGAAAAGAAAACCAAATTGCTTCTAGGTTCTGACTTCTGTTGTGTGTTTGTGTGAGCTGTCTTGAGATTGAATGGCTTTATGCCATTTCGCTACTTAAAAAAAAAATCTACATTTTGGTTTTAGTTGTATTGGTTGCTTGGATTGTTTGGCTTAGAAATAAGAAAGGAGAAATTTGTTGTGTAAATTGTCCCACATCGACAATTACTAGGAAAGAAGAATGTGAGAACCCAATATAAATAGGGTGGTGTGCTCCTCAGTATTTATCGAGTATAGCCACACTGATAGGCCCACTAAGAATTTAACTTGGTGAGTTTCAAATAAGCCCGATGTAACCAGCGTATCCTCGGGTATTGTCATTAGACCGGGAGGTTAATCGATTTAAAATCGTTCCCCGATCTATCTGACCGATTCAGTTCAAATTGCAGCCGTCGGTCACCGCCTAACGTTTAACCGACCGGCCGGTTAATCTGTTAGGTTCCCGATTTATAGAGCATGGCTCATGCTATATGGTCCTTGTCTAGAGGCATCTTGATACCACTTAAATCAAGAGTGGTCGATAATTAAAAATGAAGTAAAGTGGAAGGAAAAAATGGAAGGAAACTCCTCCATTATTCAAACTTGTTATATCATCTTCTTCAAGTAGAATTTTTTCGAATTGAGCCGATGATAATATAAAATATATAGCATATAGCTTAGAAAAAATAGCATAGATGATTTTGATTTTCTAATTTTCAATTGATTATCTAAATCCTCAAATTTTTTTATATAAATTGGTCTAAAATATTATTGTTTTTTTGTTACAGTTCTCACGACAATGACGACAAAAGACGTTGCATCAACTTCTGTTAATGCCAATGCTGTGAAAGTTACTGTAGCATGGGATTACCAGAACATGAAGAACGCTAGAAGCTGATATAGTGATCGTAGGTGTTGGTGCTAGACCTATTATATCACTCTTTAAAGGGCAAGTTGAAGAGGAAAAGGGCGGTTTGAAGGTTTGCGATTTAAAATACTTCATTTGTTGCACTATCTGAGATAGTTTGTGAAGTTTTTTTTTTGCGTTAACTCATGAGATATTTCTTCGAATGCAGACTGATGCATTCTTCAAAACGAACGTTCCGGATGTATACGCCATTGGTGATATAGCCACATTCCCAATGAAACTCTACAATCAAATGAGACGTGTTGTACACGTTGACCATGCTCGCAAGTCTGCTGAACAGGCCGTTAAGGTAATAAAGCGATAACACGAATGAGATTTATAGAATCCAAATTGAATCAATTGTATGGCTTTTGTAGGCAATCAAGGCCGCAGAAGAAGGGAAATCGATTCCTGAATATGACTATCTTCCATACTTTTACTCTCGAGCCTTTGATCTCTCATGGCAATTCTATGGTGACAACGTTGGAGAAACCGTTTTGTTTGGAGATAATGACCCAAAATCGCCGAAGCCGAAATTCGGAAGCTATTGGATTAAATAAGGGAAATTGATTGGAGCGTTTTTGGAAGGTGGAACTTTTGAAGAGAACAAGGCAATTGCTAAGGTCGCGCGAACGCAGCCTTCTGTTGAGAGCCTTGACGTGTTGTCTAAGGAAGGACTTTCCTTCGCCAGCAAAATTTAGAAAAGAAAACCAAATTGCTTCTAGGTTCTGACTTCTGTTGTGTGTTTGTGTGAGCTGTCTTGAGATTGAATGGCTTTATGCCATTTCGCTACTTAAAAAAAAAATCTACATTTTGGTTTTGGTTGTATTGGTTGCTTGGATTGTTTGGCTTAGAAATAAGAAAGGAGAAATTTGTTGTGTAAATTGTCCCACATCGACAATTACTAGGAAAGAAGAATGTGAGAACCCAATATAAATAGGGTGGTGTGCTCCTCAGTATTAGTAAGCCACACTGATAGGCCCACTAAGAATTTAACTTGGTGAGTTTCAAATAAGCCCGATGTAACCAGCGTATCCTCGGGTATTTTCATTAGACCGGGAGGTTAATCGATTTAAAATCGTTCCCCGATCTATCTGACCGATTCAGTTCAAATTGCAGCCGTCGGTTACCGCCTAACGTTTAACCGACCGGCCGGTTAATCTGTTAGGTTCCCGATTTATAGAGCATGGCTCATGCTATATGGTCCTTGTCTGGAGGCATCTTGATACCACTTAAATCAAGAGTGGTCGATAATTAAAAATGAAGTAAAGTGGAAGGAAAAAATGGAAGGAAACTCCTCCATTATTCAAACTTGTTATATCATCTTCTTCAAGTAGAATTTTTTCGAATTGAGCCGATGATAATATAAAATATATAGCATATAGCTTAGAAAAAATAGCATAGATGATTTTGATTTTCTAATTTTCAATTGATTATCTAAATCCTCAAATTTTTTTATATAAATTGGTCTAAAATATTATTGTTTTTTTGTTACAGTTCTCACGACAATGACGACAAAAGACGTTGCATCAACTTCTGTTAATGCCAATGCTGTGAATGTTACTGTAGCATGGGATTACCAGAACATGAAGAACGCTAGAAGATGATATAGTGATCGTAGGTGTTGGTGCTAGACCTATTATATCACTCTTTAAAGGGCAAGTTGAAGAGGAAAAGGGCAGTTTGAAGGTTTGCGATTTAAAATACTTCATTTGTTGCACTATCTGAGATAGTTTGTGAAGTTTTTTTTTTTGCGTTAACTCATGAGATATTTCTTCGAATGCAGACTGATGCATTCTTCAAAACGAACGTTCCGGATGTATACACCATTGGTGATATAGCAACATTCCCAATGAAACTCTACAATCAAATGAGACGTGTTGAACACATTGACCATGCTCGCAAGTCCGCTGAACAGGCCGTTAAGGTAATAAAGCGATAACACGAATGAGATTTATAGAATCCAAATTGAATCAATTGTATGGCTTTTGTAGGCAATCAAGGCCGCAGAAGAAGGGAAATCGATTCCTGAATATGACTATCTTCCATACTTTTACTCTCGAGCCTTTGATCTCTCATGGCAATTCTATGGTGACAACGTTGGAGAAACCGTTTTGTTTGGAGATAATGAACCAAAATCGCCGAAGCCAAAATTCGGAAGCTATTGGATTAAAGAAAGGAAATTGATTGGAGCGTTTTTGGAAGGTGGAACTTTTGAAGAGAACAAGGCAATTGCTAAGGTCGCGCGAACGCAGCCTTCTGTTGAGAGCCTTGACGTGTTGTCTAAGGAAGGACTTTCCTTCGCCAGCAAAATTTAGAAAAGAAAACCAAATTGCTTCTAGGTTCTGACTTCTGTTGTGTGTTTGTGTGAGCTGTCTTGAGATTGAATGGCTTTATGCCATTTCGCTACTTAAAAAAAAAATCTACATTTTGGTTTTAGTTGTATTGGTTGCTTGGATTGTTTGGCTTAGAAATAAGAAAGGAGAAATTTGTTGTGTAAATTGTCCCACATCGACAATTACTAGGAAAGAAGAATGTGAGAACCCAATATAAATAGGGTGGTGTGCTCCTCAGTATTTATCGAGTATAGCCACACTGATAGGCCCACTAAGAATTTAACTTGGTGAGTTTCAAATAAGCCCGATGTAACCAGCGTATCCTCGGGTATTGTCATTAGACCGGGAGGTTAATCGATTTAAAATCGTTCCCCGATCTATCTGACCGATTCAGTTCAAATTGCAGCCGTCGGTCACCGCCTAACGTTTAACCGACCGGCCGGTTAATCTGTTAGGTTCCCGATTTATAGAGCATGGCTCATGCTATATGGTCCTTGTCTAGAGGCATCTTGATACCACTTAAATCAAGAGTGGTCGATAATTAAAAATGCAGTAAAGTGGAAGGAAAAAATGGAAGGAAACTCCTCCATTATTCAAACTTGTTATATCATCTTCTTCCAGTAGAATTTTTTCGAATTGAGACGATGATAATATAAAATATATAGCATATAGCTTAGAAAAAATAGTATAGATGATTTTGATTTTCTAATTTTCAATTGATTATCTAAATCCTCAAATTTTTTTATATAAATTGGTCTAAAATATTATTGTTTTTTGTTACAGTTCTCACGACAATGACGACAAAAGACGTTGCATCAACTTCTGTTAATGCCAATGCTGTGAAAGTTACTGTAGCATGGGATTACCAGAACATGAAGAACGCTAGAAGCTGATATAGTGATCGTAGGTGTTGGTGCTAGACCTATTATATCACTCTTTAAAGGGCAAGTTGAAGAGGAAAACGGCGGTTTGAAGGTTTGCGATTTAAAATACTTCATTTGTTGCAGTATCTGAGATAGTTTGTGAAGTTTTTTTTTTTGCGTTAACTCATGAGATATTTCTTCGAATGCAGACTGATGCATTCTTCAAAACAAACGTTCCGGATGTATACGCCATTGGTGATATAGCCACATTCCCAATGAAACTCTACAATCAAATGAGACGTGTTGAACACGTTGACCATGCTCGCAAGTCCGCTGAACAGGCCGTTAAGGTAATAAAGCGATAACACGAATGAGATTTATAGAATCCAAATTGAATCAATTGTATGGCTTTTGTGGGCAATCAAGGCCGCAGAAGAAGGGAAATCGATTCCTGAATATGACTATCTTCCATACTTTTACTCTCGAGCCTTTGATCTCTCATGGCAATTCTATGGTGACAACGTTGGAGAAACCGTTTTGTTTGGAGATAATGACCCAAAATCGCCGAAGCCGAAATTCGGAAGCTATTGGATTAAAGAAAGGAAATTGATTGGAGCGTTTTTGGAAGGTGGAACTTTTGAAGAGAACAAGGCAATTGCTAAGGTCGCGCGAACGCAGCCTTCTGTTGAGAGCCTTGACGTGTTGTCTAAGGAAGGACTTTCCTTCGCCAGCAAAATTTAGAAAAGAAAACCAAATTGCTTCTAGGTTCTGACTTCTGTTGTGTGTTTGTGTGAGCTGTCTTGAGATTGAATGGCTTTATGCCATTTCGCTACTTAAAAAAAAAATCTACATTTTGGTTTTAGTTGTATTGGTTGCTTGGATTGTTTGGCTTAGAAATAAGAAAGGAGAAATTTGTTGTGTAAATTGTCCCACATCGACAATTACTAGGAAAGAAGAATGTGAGAACCCAATATAAATAGGGTGGTGTGCTCCTCAGTATTTATCGAGTATAGCCACACTGATAGGCCCACTAAGAATTTAACTTGGTGAGTTTCAAATAAGCCCGATGTAACCAGCGTATCCTCGGGTATTGTCATTAGACCGAGAGGTTAATCGATTTAAAATAGTTCCCCGATCTATCTGACCGATTCAGTTCAAATTGCAGCCGTCGGTCACCGCCTAACGTTTAACCGACCGGCCGGTTAATCTGTTAGGTTCCCGATTTATAGAGCATGGCTCATGCTATATGGTCCTTGTCTAGAGGCATCTTGATACCACTTAAATCAAGAGTGGTCGATAATTAAAAATGAAGTAAAGTGGAAGGAAAAAATGGAAGGAAACTCCTCCATTATTCAAACTTGTTATATCATCTTCTTCAAGTAGAATTTTTTCGAATTGAGCCGATGATAATATAAAATATATAGCATATAGCTTAGAAAAAATAGCATAGATGATTTTGATTTTCTAATTTTCAATTGATTATCTAAATCCTCAAATTTTTTTATATAAATTGGTCTAAAATATTATTGTTTTTTGTTACAGTTCTCACGACAATGACGACAAAAGACGTTGCATCAACTTCTGTTAATGCCAATGCTGTGAAAGTTACTGTAGCATGGGATTACCAGAACATGAAGAACGCTAGAAGCTGATATAGTGATCGTAGGTGTTGGTGCTAGACCTATTATATCACTCTTTAAAGGGCAAGTTGAAGAGGAAAAGGGCAGTTTGAAGGTTTGCGATTTAAAATACTTCATTTGTTGCACTATCTGAGATAGTTTGTGAAGTTTTTTTTTTGCGTTAACTCATGAGATATTTCTTCGAATGCAGACTGATGCATTCTTCAAAACGAACGTTCCGGATGTATACGCCATTGGTGATATAGCCACATTCCCAATGAAACTCTACAATCAAATGAGACGTGTTGAACACGTTGACCATGCTCGCAAGTCCGCTGAACAGGCCGTTAAGGTAATAAAGCGATAACACGAATGAGATTTATAGAATCCAAATTGAATCAATTATATGGCTTTTGTAGGCAATCAAGGCCGCAGAAGAAGGGAAATCGATTCCTGAATATGACTATCTTCCATACTTTTACTCTCGAGCCTTTGATCTCTCATGGCAATTCTATGGTGACAACGTTGGAGAAACCGTTTTGTTTGGAGATAATGACCCAAAATCGCCGAAGCCAAAATTCGGAAGCTATTGGATTAAAGAAAGGAAATTGATTGGAGCGTTTTTGGAAGGTGGAACTTTTGAAGAGAACAAGGCAATTGCTAAGGTCGCGCGAACGCAGCCTTCTGTTGAGAGCCTTGACGTGTTGTCTAAGGAAGGACTTTCCTTCGCCAGCAAAATTTAGAAAAGAAAACCAAATTGCTTCTAGGTTCTGACTTCTGTTGTGTGTTTGTGTGAGCTGTCTTGAGATTGAATGGCTTTATGCCATTTCGCTACTTAAAAAAAAAATCTACATTTTGGTTTTGGTTGTATTGGTTGCTTGGATTGTTTGGCTTAGAAATAAGAAAGGAGAAATTTGTTGTGTAAATTGTCCCACATCGACAATTACTAGGAAAGAAGAATGTGAGAACCCAATATAAATAGGGTGGTGTGCTCCTCAGTATTTATCGAGTATAGCCACACTGATAGGCCCACTAAGAATTTAACTTGGTGAGTTTCAAATAAGCCCGATGTAACCAGCGTATCCTCGGGTATTGTCATTAGACCGGGAGGTTAATCGATTTAAAATAGTTCCCCGATCTATCTGACCGATTCAGTTCAAATTGCAGCCGTCGGTCACCGCCTAACGTTTAACCGACCGGCCGGTTAATCTGTTAGGTTCCCGATTTATAGAGCATGGCTCATGCTATATGGTCCTTGTCTAGAGGCATCTTGATACCACTTAAATCAAGAGTGGTCGATAATTAAAAATGAAGTAAAGTGGAAGGAAAAAATGGAAGGAAACTCCTCCATTATTCAAACTTGTTATATCATCTTCTTCAAGTAGAATTTTTTCGAATTGAGCCGATGATAATATAAAATATATAGCATATAGCTTAGAAAAAATAGCATAGATGATTTTGATTTTCTAATTTTCAATTGATTATCTAAATCCTCAAATTTTTTTATATAAATTGGTCTAAAATATTATTGTTTTTTTGTTACAGTTCTCACGACAATGACGACAAAAGACGTTGCATCAACTTCTGTTAATGCCAATCCTGTGAAAGTTACTGTAGCATGGGATTACCAGAACATGAAGAACGCTAGAAGCTGATATAGTGATCGTAGGTGTTGGTGCTAGACCTATTATATCACTCTTTAAAGGGCAAGTTGAAGAGGAAAAGGGCGGTTTGAAGGTTTGCGATTTAAAATACTTCATTTGTTGCAGTATCTGAGATAGTTTGTGAAGTTTTTTTTTTGCGTTAACTCATGAGATATTTCTTCGAATGCAGACTGATGCATTCTTCAAAACGAACGTTCCGGATGTATACGCCATTGGTGATATAGCCACATTCCCAATGAAACTCTACAATCAAATGAGACGTGTTGAACACGTTGACCATGCTCGCAAGTCCGCTGAACAGGCCGTTAAGGTAATAAAGCGATAACACGAATGAGATTTATAGAATCCAAATTGAATCAATTATATGGCTTTTGTAGGCAATCAAGGCCGCAGAAGAAGGGAAATCGATTCCTGAATATGACTATCTTCCATACTTTTACTCTCGAGCCTTTGATCTCTCATGGCAATTCTATGGTGACAACGTTGGAGAAACCGTTTTGTTTGGAGATAATGACCCAAAATCGCCGAAGCCGAAATTCGGAAGCTATTGGATTAAAGAAGGGAAATTGATTGGAGCGTTTTTGGAAGGTGGAACTTTTGAAGAGAACAAGGCAATTGCTAAGGTCGCGCGAACGCAGCCTTCTGTTGAGAGCCTTGACGTGTTGTCTAAGGAAGGACTTTCCTTCGCCAGCAAAATTTAGAAAAGAAAACCAAATTGCTTCTAGGTTCTGACTTATGTTGTGTGTTTGTGTGAGCTGTCTTGAGATTGAATGGCTTTATGCCATTTCGCTACTTAAAAAAAAAATCTACATTTTGGTTTTGGTTGTATTGGTTGCTTGGATTGTTTGGCTTAGAAATAAGAAAGGAGAAATTTGTTGTGTAAATTGTCCCACATCGACAATTACTAGGAAAGAAGAATGTGAGAACCCAATATAAATAGGGTGGTGTGCTCCTCAGTATTTATCGAGTAAGCCACACTGATAGGCCCACTAAGAATTTAACTTGGTGAGTTTCAAATAAGCCCGATGTAACCAGCGTATCCTCGGGTATTGTCATTAGACCGGGAGGTTAATCGATTTAAAATCGTTCCCCGATCTATCTGACCGATTCAGTTCAAATTGCAGCCGTCGGTCACCGCCTAACGTTTAACCGACCGGCCGGTTAATCTGTTAGGTTCCCGATTTATAGAGCATGGCTCATGCTATATGGTCCTTGTCTGGAGGCATCTTGATACCACTTAAATCAAGAGTGGTTGATAATTAAAAATGAAGTAAAGTGGAAGGAAAAATGGAAGGAAACTCCTCCATTATTCAAACTTGTTATATCATCTTCTTCAAGTAGAATTTTTTCGAATTGAGCCGATGATAATATAAAATATATAGCATATAGCTTAGAAAAAATAGCATAGATGATTTTGATTTTCTAATTTTCAATTGATTATCTAAATCCTCAAATTTTTTTATATAAATTGGTCTAAAATATTATTGTTTTTTGTTACAGTTCTCACGACAATGACGACAAAAGACGTTGCATCAACTTCTGTTAATGCCAATGCTGTGAAAGTTACTGTAGCATGGGATTACCAGAACATGAAGAACGCTAGAAGCTGATATAGTGATCGTAGGTGTTGGTGCTAGACCTATTATATCACTCTTTAAAGGGCAAGTTGAAGAGGAAAAGGGCGGTTTGAAGGTTTGCGATTTAAAATACTTCATTTGTTGCACTATCTGAGATAGTTTGTGAAGTTTTTTTTTTGCGTTAACTCATGAGATATTTCTTCGAATGCAGACTGATGCATTCTTCAAAACGAACGTTCCGGATGTATACGCCATTGGTGATATAGCCACATTCCCAATGAAACTCTACAATCAAATGAGACGTGTTGTACACGTTGACCATGCTCGCAAGTCTGCTGAACAGGCCGTTAAGGTAATAAAGCGATAACACGAATGAGATTTATAGAATCCAAATTGAATCAATTGTATGGCTTTTGTAGGCAATCAAGGCCGCAGAAGAAGGGAAATCGATTCCTGAATATGACTATCTTCCATACTTTTACTCTTGAGCCTTTGATCTCTCATGGCAATTCTATGGTGACAACGTTGGAGAAACCGTTTTGTTTGGAGATAATGACCCAAAATCGCCGAAGCCGAAATTCGGAAGCTATTGGATTAAAGAAGGGAAATTGATTGGAGCGTTTTTGGAAGGTGGAACTTTTGAAGAGAACAAGGCAATTGCTAAGGTCGCGCGAACGCAGCCTTCTGTTGAGAGCCTTGACGTGTTGTCTAAGGAAGGACTTTCCTTCGCCAGCAAAATTTAGAAAAGAAAACCAAATTGCTTCTAGGTTCTGACTTATGTTGTGTGTTTGTGTGAGCTGTCTTGAGATTGAATGGCTTTATGCCATTTCGCTACTTAAAAAAAAAATCTACATTTTGGTTTTAGTTGTATTGGTTGCTTGGATTGTTTGGCTTAGAAATAAGAAAGGAGAAATTTGTTGTGTAAATTGTCCCACATCGACAATTACTAGGAAAGAAGAATGTGAGAACCCAATATAAATAGGGTGGTGTGCTCCTCAGTATTTATCGAGTATAGCCACACTGATAGGCCCACTAAGAATTTAACTTGGTGAGTTTCAAATAAGCCCGATGTAACCAGCGTATCCTCGTTTATTGTCATTAGACCGGGAGGTTAATCGATTTAAAATAGTTCCCCGATCTATCTGACCGATTCAGTTCAAATTGCAGCCGTCGGTCACCGCCTAACGTTTAACCGACCGGCCGGTTAATCTGTTAGGTTCCCGATTTATAGAGCATGGCTCATGCTATATGGTCCTTGTCTGGAGGCATCTTGATACCACTTAAATCAAGAGTGGTCGATAATAAAAATGAAGTAAAGTGGAAGGAAAAAATGGAAGGAAACTCCTCCATTATTCAAACTTGTTATATCATCTTCTTCAAGTAGAATTTTTTCGAATTGAGCCGATGATAATATAAAATATATAGCATATAGCTTAGAAAAAATAGCATAGATGATTTTGATTTTCTAATTTTCAATTGATTATCTAAATCCTCAAATTTTTTTATATAAATTGGTCTAAAATATTATTGTTTTTTTGTTACAGTTCTCACGACAATGACGACAAAAGACGTTGCATCAACTTCTGTTAATGCCAATGCTGTGAAAGTTACTGTAGCATGGGATTACCAGAACATGGAGATACCTTTTAATACTTGTTCCATAGTGCATCTAAGAAGGCAGATCGAAATTGCCCTGAAACATCTGAATCCCAATTTTGTTATTGAAAACATGTTTGCATATGGACCGGGTGATGGACGACAAGCTCAATACATTCTAACGGCTGGAGATCACACTTAAACCTATCCCAGCTATAAACAGATCGTGTGAAGTTAAAGAAGCAACATATTGTGATGGTATCGCTATACGTAATCAGCCTGGCAATCAAGGTAAAAAAAAATTCTTAATAACTTTTTTTATATACTATTTGTTTTCTGTACTAGTTAATATTGGATATTTTCCTAGGATTAACATGTTTGAATTCTTATTTTTGTTTTCTTTCACAGTGCAAACTGCGCGAAACAACAGATGTTGCTGACCTGTTTATGTCTAAGGATATGTTACTGAAAACACTGGAGGATGAACCTAACCAGTACATACTGGTCATTACTGACGATATTGATTTTTTTTGGTGTGATTTTGGATATACATCAATATACATATGTAATGTTAGCCGTAAGTGGTCCTGGAATTAATCTCCATACGACGACAAGGGATATGGTAATTGGAACTTGGCTTTGGAGGGATATGACAAATGGAGGTGATCGCCTGCCGCCTCAGAACTAGTCCTCCTGAAAACTAGTCCTCCTTGAAAGAACTTTCGGTTATTTTCTTGGATTGTAACCGTTTATCTTATCGTTATTATGTTTTGTATTTTAATTATGTTTTGTATTTTAATTATGTTGAAAGTTTGGACTCTTTGGCAACTGAGTTCTGGGCTAATTTGGATTGTAAGCCTCATCTAAGATTAATATAAATATGAGTTGAATCAGAATCGCTGATCGGCTCGATGTCACTCTTCTTCAAATGAGGTTTATTGTTGGAGATTAGATTCGTAAATAATGTTTTGAATGTGAGAAAATTCTTCCTCGGTTTAGATTTTTCCAGGTGAAGATTTTCTTCCGACTTTCTTCCTATTCGGTATCTCTATCTCCGTCTCCTTCGTTGTCGACTCGATCGGACCCGAATATAACCCGCTTTCAGTCTGATATGACCCAGATTGTAGCGATTGGGCCTGTGTTGGGCTTAGTCATTAGTTCATGGTTTATGTCCATGATCTTATCTTAGTAGCTTCTAGTATATAGCTTGAGGTTTTCTCTGTAAAACGAATCATCAAATTAAGATCAATATCAAACAAACTCTATTCCTTCTCTCGTTTATTCTCTTCTTCTTCTCCCTCATTTCTTCAGATAAGTCACCGGCTTATCACCTTCTCCCCTTTCTTTTTTCTATCTCTTCTCCTCTAATCCTATTCTTCCGATAACCCCATCTCCGGGCTTATCGCAGTCGGACCCGATAAGAATCGCTGCTCAAACGGAGCCAACCAGTGACCCGATTCGTTGGCAATCGGACCTGATTGCCACGTGGCGCCACGCGGCTGGAGAGGAAGAGAGGCGAGATAACCGGAGCTCTCGAATGCAGAGGCGGTGACGGCGGGGCTGTACGGAAGATCGGCCTCCGACAATAGAGCTCCGGAGAGAGCGGTGGATGGATTTTCGCTGACCGATGCGCCGGAGATTGAACCGAAAGGGTGGTGGTGGTTTCTCAGATAGGTTCTGGTCGGAGAGGAATCCCCGGCATAGAAGAAGGTAATGCTACTCCGGTGAGATTCGGTCGTATATAGCAGATTGACTGGCCAAGTCCTTCGAGAACCAGAGATACATCGTATCGCCGGGTAATTACGCCGGCGACAGTTCCGGTACAACAGACGCTCAAAGTGGTGACTCCATTTCCCATTTGTCAAAATAAAAGAAAGGAAAGAGAATCGAGAAATTATACAATCTTAACGATGTGGATTGTAGTCACCTGAACTGGTGTCGTTCTAAAAAGGCAATTGGTCTCTTGAGATTCTATGATATTGAGTTTGGTTGATTTATGTTGGAACCAAATAAAGAAGAAGAGACGAGTCACAGAGATGTGTGCGAGAGAGACAACAAAGAAAGAGTTGAGAGAGCTTTATTCTTTAGGGATTGGTTGATTTTAATGGTAAGTGGAATTCGTAAAGATTATACTACAAAATACTTTTGATGAAAAGCTTTCAATTATTTTAATAACTGATGAGGATAGCATAATTATTTTATAGAGGTTAGGGCCAGGAGGTGTATAATTTGCTAACTTTGGTCTTTGACAAACAGTTGATGGTGTGGTACAAGAGTTCCTGTCAACCAACATTTTGAATCAGGGATGTTATATACGATTTGCTTTAAGTAAACCAACGAACAAGGAGTTGACTTTCTGATGAAGAGTATGTAAAGTATAATAGCAAAAACTCAATTGAGAAAATTAATGGCTGAAGCATAATCAAAATATTAAATATCATATAAAACCATTTTGAAAAGAAATTAATCTATGCAGTACATGCCCATATTTTAACCATTAGATTACTCTAAATGATGCGCTCCTTCTCTATGACTGTATTTTGAGCCATAGCCCTTGCACTCAGTACCTGCATTGCATTAATTTAAAGGCGTCATTTTACAATTCCCAAGTTACAAGAAAAAACATGGCTCTTTATTACATTTACCAAAATAAACATCTCCCTAGATTTATATAACTACCGACGTGCCTACCTTACGCCTTAGTGCGATATTGATATAGTGTGGACGGTCAAGTAGGAGACACGTGCACAGCTGAGATGAGCGGAGCCAGCTCAGAAGAACGGCCTAATAAAATAAACAGAACATTTTTCATTTGGAGATTATCGAAAAAGTTGTTGCTTGTTTTCTTCTTCTTTTCTCTCTTTTGGACTCTATTCTCGTTGTTGTGAATTTGCATTTGAACTCAGAAATCTTTCTACCATAGATTTCTGAATCAGGTGTGTGAGGATCTTTGTTTCATGCATATTGATTCTCCTTCTATCTTAATCGGTGTTCTTAAGTATTTTCCCAAATAAATTGTATCAAAGGTATCAGCAGCTACTTCGAACCTCGGAAATGGCAGAAACTCGTTCGCAAGCTCAACGGAAGGAAGCTACGGTTCGAGATCTCGAGGAGATGATGGGATCGTTCAAAGCTCAGATGCTTGAGCGAACTCAAGCTCTGGAATCAACGGTCGCGACGCAACAGGAGAAGATGGCGAGCACAGTCGCTGAGCTGTTCGAATCGGTACGTTTGTTTACCGGGATGGATCCAAAGACGGTGGCATCTACTCGTCCGCCCGATCGACCACCACCGCCGGTTCCGCCGTTACAGACTCCAATCACAGATCTGACGACTCATACTCCACAGAATCCACCGACAAATTACGCTGGGGTCACGACGTTAGCTAAAATCGATTTTCCTCGCTTCGATGGTACTGGGTTTAAAGACTGGTTGTTTAAGGTTGAGCAGTTTTTTGTGATTGATCGTACTCCTTCTGAGTATATGGTGGGTTTGGCTTCGATCCACATGGATGGGGAGGCTGGGAACTGGCATCGTTCGGTGATAGAATCTGAAATCCCGGTGGTTGGATGGCAGGAGTGGGCTGTGTAAAAATCCTTGTTGTTGGAGCGATTTGATGAGCTGCTGGATGATCCTATCGCAGAGTTGAAGCAGCTGCATGAGACAGATGGGATTCGGGAGTATAATAGGAAATTTGAGCTGATTCGCACTCGAGTTAAGCTTTCAGAAGCATATTTGGTGAGTGCCTTTCTTGCGGGTTTACGATTGGATACTCAGATGCATGTGAGGATGTTTCAGCCAAAAACGGTGCGTCACTGCTTAATGCTGGGACGTCTTTATGAACTGGCACATCCTAAGGCGAAGACTCAGGGTTCCTCATGGTCATCGTCCAAAGCCTTTGACGGATCGAGGCAACTGTCAACAGGAGGAAAATGGTTCACTACGGTGAAGAAACCATGGGATACAGGTCAGGTGAAACCAGCGTTGCTCCCAACCCCGGTTGACGACGCACCAAAAAAGGTTTTGACAACAGAGGAGATGAATGATCGCCGGGCCAAAGGCCTCTGTTATTTTTGTGACGAAAAATATACACCAGGACATTATCTCAAACACAAGAAGACGAAGTTGTATATGCTGGAGGGTGATGAAGGGCTCGATGATGACGCTGACGAGGAGTCGGAGGAGGACACTCTGGTGGTCACTGCGGACATAGCACATATATCCCTTAATGCTTTAGCGGGAGTTACAGATTACAATACCATGCGAGTCAAGGGTGTTCAGGGAAAGAAGACGGTCTTCATACTAATTGATTCCGGTTCCACACATAATTTCATATCTCCAGAGTCAGCGGTTCGTTTGGGGTTATCTGTCACATCAGCCGGTTTAGCTCGTTGTAAGGTGGCTGATGGGAGTAAGTTGGCTGTTCAGGGAAGAATTACACAGTTAGAATGGAAGTTTCAAAATACAACTTTTGTCGCAGATTTTATGGTTATTCCTTTGGGCGGTTGTCACATGGTATTGGGAATTCAATGGCTACGCACACTAGGTCCAATCACATGGGATTTCCTCAACTTGATAATGTCTTTTAAGTTGGGACAGCAGAAGGTGGTGTTGCATGGTATTCATGAAGATTCAGTACGGTCTATCAAAGCTTCCAAGCTTCAAAAATACAAGGACGACCATATTGAACTCTCTATGATCTACGCATATATACACGGCTCCGGTGGTGGAGGATGGTGAGAGAGACATTGCGTGGCAGTTCCCTTCCATGGAGCTCAGCAAGATTACAGGGGAAACTCCTACGGGTGCAATGGCACAAGGTCTCGACGGGTTACTGCAAAAGTATGCCTCTGTGTTTGAAGAACCCTCAGGTTTGCCGCCTTTCAGGACGAATCACGATCATAAGATTCTCTTGTTGGAAGGTTCCAATCCTATTAATCAAAGACCTTACCGCTATGCTCTACAACAGAAAACTGAGATTGATAATCAGGTTGATGCATTATTAACAAATGGAACCATTCAACCTAGCTCAAGCTCTTATGCTTCGCCGGTGGTGTTGGTTAAGAAAAAAGATGGAAGTTGGAGGTTGTGTGTGGACTATCGGGGATTGAACAATCTCACTGTGAAGAACAGGTTTCCTATTCCTCTAATTGAAGACTTATTGGATGAGTTGGGTGGTTCTTCTATCTACTCGATTGATTTACGTGCAGGTTACCACCAGGTGAGAATGAGTCCCCAGGACATTCATAAAACGGCCTTCAAGACCCACAGTGGGCACTATGAGTACATCGTCATGCCATTTGGCTTGACAAAAGCCCCAGCTACCTGTCAAGGCTTGATGAATGCCATTTTCAAGGAGTTTTTGCGGAAATTTGTCCTCATTTTTTTTGATGACATTTTGGTATATAGCAGTTCTTTGGATGCACATCTAATCCATTTGGAGGAGGTTTTCAAGCTGATGGTTCAACACCGTTTATATGCAAAGATGAGTAAGTGTGATTTTGGTACCGATCGCGTGGAGTATTTGGGGCACTTTATCCAATCTGCGGGTGTGTCCACTGATCCGGCAAAGGTCCAAGCCGTGGCTGATTGGCCAACACCGATGACTCTTAAACAATTACGGGGATTTTTAGGGCTTGCGGGGTACTACAGGCGTTTCGTGCAGAACTTTGGTACCATTGCAAGGGCATTGACTCTTCTTACGAAGAAAGACTATTTCGTCTGGTCCGAGGAAGCCCAAGTCGCTTTCGATAATCTGCAGAGAGCACTGACGACACCACCAGTCCTGGCTCTACCAGTTTTTGACAGACCTTTCTTGGTAGAGACTGATGCTTCGGGTCAAGGTATAGGGGGGTTCTCATGCAGGATGGTCATCCCTTGGGGTATATAAGTAGACATTTAAAGGGAAAGCAGCTGCACTTATCTATCTACGAAAAAGAGCTACTGACAGTAGTGTTTGCTGTACAAAAGTGGAGGCACTACTTGCTCACAGGTCATTTCATCATCAGAACTGACCAGCGCAGCTTGAAATATTTATTGGAGCAGCGTTTGAATACTCCAATCCAGCAGCAGTGGTTACCAAAACTCTTAGAGTTTGATTACGAAATACAATACAAGGAGGGCAAGGAGAATTTGGCAGCTGATGCACTCTCTCGAGTTGAGGGTGCCGAAGTTCTGAATATGGCTAAGTCCGTAGCGGATTGTGACATAATGCAGAAGATTCGAGATGGTTATACACAAGATCCGGTGACTACGATGCTAATTGATCAGTTGCGATCAAAACCAGGTTCTAAACCGTTTTACACTTGGTCTCAGGATGTACTTCGGCGCAAGAGTAAGTTGGTGGTTCCAAATGTTCCAGAGCTTCGGAAGTTTATTCTACAATGGATGTACAACGCCGGTGGTAGTGGACACTCCGGCAGAGATGCCACGTTCCAACGGGTAAAGGGTCTTTTCTTCTGGAAAGGTATGATCAAGGATATCCAGGGCTACATAAGGAGCTGTGATGTGTGCCAGAGGTGCAAATACGAGACTGCAGCCTCTCCTGGTTGGTTGCAACCCCTTCCCATTCCTGAATCTGTTTGGTCTGATGTGTCTATGAACTTTATTGACGGGTTACCATTGTCTTTCGGTAAATCGGTTATATTCGTTGTTGTGGATCGCTTAACAAAAGCTGCACACTTCATGGCACTAGCTCACCCTTACACGGCGATCACAGTGGCTCAGGCTTTCTTCGACACTGTCTTTAAGTTACATGGGTTGCCTAGTTCTATTGTTAGTGATCGGGATTCTATTTTCCTCAGTGCCTTTTGGAAGGAACTGTTCTCGTTACAAGGTGTAGCACTGCAATTTTCGTCGGCATATCATCCTCAAAGCGATGGGCAGACCGAGGTTGTAAACCGCTGCCTGGAAACATACTTACGCTGTATGTGTAGTGATCGTCCCTATCTATGGAGTAAGTGGTTATCTCTGGCAGAATACTGGTACAACACTACTTTCCACACGGCGACACAAATCACTCCGTTTGAAGCTGTTTATGGTAAGCCACCCCCAATTCACTTGCCTTACTTACCTGGCGAATCCAAAGTGGCAGTGGTGGCACAGAATTTACGTGACAGAGAAAACATGTTGATGTTGCTCAAATTCCATTTGATGAGGGCTCAGCACAGGATGTCTCAAGTGGCGAATAAGAGGCGTTCTGAAAGGACTTTTGTGGTTGGGGACTGGGTATTTGTGAAACTACAACCTTATCGTCAGAAGTCGGTGGTCTTGAGATCTAATCAGAAGCTAGCTCCTAAGTACTTCGGGCCAGACAAGGTTGTGGATAAATGCGGCAAGGTGGCATACAAACTGGAGCTCCCGGCTACTTCTTCAGTTCATCCAGTCTTTTATGTTTCCCAGCTAAAGTTGAGGGTAGGGGACCATTCTGTTTCGACTGACTTACCTAATGATGGGGTTGACGTGTTGAGGAAGGCACCCGAATCCATTATGGAAAGGAAAATGGTGAATCGTCAAGGCAAAGCTGTCACTAAGGTGTTGGTTAAGTAGATGCATCAGGCAGAAGATGAAGCTACTTGGGAATTTTACTACGACTTACTCCAGACGTACCCGGATTTCAGACCTTGAGGTCAAGGTCTTCGAGGAGGGGAAGATTTGATATAGTGTAGACAGTCAAGTAGGAGACACGTGCACATCTGAGATGAGCGGAGCCAGCTCAGAAGAACGGCCTAATAAATTAAACAGAACATTTTTCATTTGGGGATTATCAAAAAAGTTTGTTGCTTGTTTTCTTCTTCTTTTCTCTCTTTTGGACTCTATTCTCGTTGTTGTGAATTTGCATTTGAACTCAGAAATCTTTCTACCATAGATTTCTGAATCAGGTGTGTGAGGATCTTTGTTTCATGAATATTGATTCTCCTTCTATCTTAATCGGTGTTCTTAAGTATTTCCCCAAATAAATTGTATCAGATATCTGGAGGATTCAAGTGCTCGTGCAAATTGTAGCCCAGCTTTGTTTCTATTCTCTATCTAATCATTCTTTCTCTTGACCGAAAACCACCGAACCAAAGGGATGGCAAAGAAAGAACCTGCGTATACTTGCACAGTCATTCGTACAAGTCAATGAAAGACACCAACAGATATAGTTTAAAACGTTGCAAACAAAGACTGCTCATTTGAATTATAAAGAAAAAAATCCACAAGAAGGTTGTTTCTGTCAAGAAAGAACCTTGAGATCATGCTTAAAGCAAATAAGAAAAACCAGAAGCAGGCAAAGGAGTTTGCCATATGAACAGAAACTAAATCCATACCTGAAGTAGTGGATATATGTTCTTAACAAATGTAAGAAATCCACTTGGCGTGACAGCCATCTCCCTGGAAACGAAGACAATTACAAGGTTGCGTTATAGGTTCGTATAGGAGGGCTTTACTCCTAAATGGAGTGTAAGATACGAGGGTCCTTACTTTAGCATGGCGTTCAGAACAATAACACCAAAGAGATTAACCGCACCTAGCCCAACGACCATTGCTCTCTCAGATGAACTAGTTTTACTGTGAAGAAAGAAGATTCCATTATTAGGAACTGAACCACAAAAGCAATAAACACTTCTCATAATTTTAAAGATATTAAACATTCCAGGAGCAAACAATGATAAACCTAAATTGCCATTTTCTCTCCTTGAAGAACTTCTCCATATCTGCAACCCAGTCTGAACCATTTTCCTACTTGTTCCTTTTTTCTACTAGACACAGAAGCTGTGCGTTGCAGGGATGGAAGACGATACAGAATATTTCCCTAAGCAACAGCAAAAAAAATACATGTTAGTAAAAATGACTAAAGGAAATACTGCAGTTCATGCACCTTTGGGCATCACATCTCAAGCAACTAGAAAGATTTGCATATGTCACATACCGCAAATCACAGAAACAAATGCAAACAAACACCTTTGAACATTAAAATTACTTGAACAAGCTTAACAATCAAATCACCAAGGAAGCTTCACAAAAGATGAGATGGTCTACAGCGCATAATCAAGTCGATCATTATGCAGAGATAAAAGTAAGATAACTTAAAAAAGGTGAGTTTACATGACTTGCCTTGTATCTTGCCAAGTTAAGAGCAGTGAAAACAGAAAATAATGCGTCATCCTCATCATCTGCTACTTTGACCACAGTTCCTACCGTTGATTGATACAATATCAAATCAACAAAACCACTCAAATCCCACTCCTTGTCATCGAGATAATTTTGTAGGAGGATCTTGACTCCATGAAAGTCTGTAGCTTTAGGGTCAAAGAACTCAAAATCTGCTTGGACGTCTCCCTTCAAAGATCAAGCATAGAAACAGAACGGTGAATAAAGACCTAACAAAAAAAAAAAAAAGGTAAACGAAAAACAACAGAAGTGTAAATAATCGCTAACCTGAGAGTCTTCTTCATCAGAGGACTCCAACAATTGTTCTTCTTTCCCATATTTGGATAAATTAGCGATCTTTTCATCTACAAAAAATTAGATTGAGACATACTCATCAGGACATTACAATGTTCTGAAATACAGTGTCTCAAAACTAAAGTTTTGACTAACCATAAGACATCTCTTCAGAACATTGAGAATCTTTAGGATGAAGCAATCTACGCCTAGCCGTTGAAGAAAAGGCTAGTGAACGCATAAAAGGTGAAAACGCTAAAGGTTGATGCTTTGAAAATCGTCTCCCTGATGGCCTACGAGGCATCTATTCAAACCGACAAAATTTTCAGCCTAATTTACCAAAACCTATGCAAATTACTAATCAAGGAGCCGTAATTACTACATCATCAAAACAAAATAAAGCAAAACGGATTCTCTAGACTAGTATACGAGACATCGATGCCGACGAAATTACTTACCTTCAAACTCAGAAGCTGAAAAAGATGAGTAGAAATCAAAAAGCTCAAAAAGATGGTTTTAGTAGAAAACCTGAAAAAAAAACTGGGAAGGTATTGAAATTCTTTCAGTCGGAAGACTTCCGAAGGTTGAGCGAGATGAAACACACCGCGCGACAGACGAGCGAAGAACCTACTAAAGAAACGGCTTCATACAATTAGGAGTAATGACCCTAAACCGAATGGTTCATATTAGTCTGTACCGGATTATTTTTTATCTACCGTACCGGACCAGTTCGGGTATATATGTTCCAATTTTTTACTTTTTCTTTTGACACCATATGTGGTAATCCAAGAGCCCAATCTATGTTCCCTATTAACTCTTCTTTAGTTACCCCTTTGTTATGCAAACCGAAGACCAGTGCAATTCGGTTTAAAATGATGAATTTTTGAATTATTAAAAATCCAAAAAAAATTCCAAATCTATATAACTATATTCCATAATCTCATCATTAAATTTTCTATTTCTTTATGTAAATTTGTGCAGGCCGCAATATTTGGAAGAGTATTCCGTTCATTTATCTCTCTCATGTTTAAAAATTTTTCACCAAGGAAAGAAGGATGTTGAAAGGTGGTGCAGGCAACAGTAAGGAACAACAGCGAAGGTTTGGTGTAATTGGCAAATGGCAACATTGAGAAGTCAGTGAGTGACTGTAAAAATTGTTTATTTATTATATACTTGTAACAAAATGAAAAGCCAGCTTAGAAAATTAAAACTTTTGGTTTCTTTCGGTTAAATACATGACACTTTTTGGAAAAAAAAAAAATCCGAAATGACGGAGGAAAGCCAAGGAAGAAGACAAAAAAGGTTTCTTAAGAAGAAATTTAGGAAGTGGAAAAGGTTTCTTTCACATGCTAAATCATGTGATCTCTCTTCGTAGATCTTTTGACTAAGATCAACCAACTTTAAGTATTTACCAATTAAGTCCTCGAATATTAATATTTTTTTGTTTTTTCGTGATTGCATGAAAAATGTGAGAGGTATCGTATGCATTATAAGGCATAATTATGCCTACTGATTATGCATTGCGTGTTAAGGTTAAACATCCTTTTTTTTTTTCCCCGTACGGCGTTGCCGTCGAATCTATTGAAAATGCCGGAAAGCTAAACTAGTAGTTACTGTTTTTTTTTTCTTTACAGTAAATTTATTTTATATGGGAGCACTTTTTAACTTTTTTTGTTACCACCATAAGTGTTTTAGTGTATTTATCTCAATTTGTTATCTCATTTTTTCCAAATATACTCTATGATTTGATTTTCATGATTCTTATTATTTACCCATAACACTAACCAAAAAAAATTACCAATATCTGCTATTTTGCTTCTAAATTCTTTTTTGTGAAACAAAAACCTGCGAATCCTTCTCAGCCATCTCAGTTTATGTCCAATTTCATTCAGAAAGGAGAACCTTTGGTAATCTGTTAGCATACTGAGATCGAGAGGAAACGAGAGGAAGAAGACGATGAAAAGAGAGAAAATATTTTCTGTTATTCAACTGAATAGTTGTTACAAGATTCATATAGTTTTGTATATGAACACATTACATCCGGTTAACACCGGTTTACACGGTTTACTCTAATATAATCTTCTGATTACATTTCTGCAATTCGATTGATTTCTATTTCCTTCTTGCTGTAATCTCTCTTTCTCTCAAGCTTCTCTCATTTTGCGATTCATGGATGCGCCGAGGAAGAGTAAGGCAGATGGAGAACAGAAGGCTTCGCACAGAGTGACTCGGAGCATGGATCGCCAAAATCAAAGTACGACTCAGCAAAACGGTGCTAAACCGGCTGGAAAAATAGTCTGAGCGAGCTACATAGATTCGAGGGAGCGGCGTCGTTATCAGAGTAGAGAGAGGGATGAGAGAGATAGATGCCAGAGCTGGAGTTCTTCGCCGAGGAGGTAACGTAGGAGTAGCAAAGATGAGAGTAGAGCAAGGAGGAGAGAAGATGTTAAGGAGAAGAAGATTGATTACTCACGGTCAATCAAAGGCTACAATGATATGGTATACTGTTCTTTGCCTTTCTCTCATGATTCTTCAGCCTTTTGTTGTTACCAGATTTTGTTTCCCCTTGTTCATTCTTGCTATATTCGCCAGATTCAACTTCAGTTATTAAATTTTCGTAATGTTAGGTTCTCTTTGCTCCCTTTTGGAATTGTAATCGCAATCCTTATTGAATAGATGATATGGGAAACAGTGAGGTCGGTCACAATGCTCTCGGTGCTGGTCGTATTTATGCTCAAGGTGCTAAGCTTTGTGACATAGCTCTTGCTGCCAGCAAAATCTTCGACGGTGAAGGTTTCAAATACGTTTCTGAATCTTTCGAGAAATCTACTCTGCACTTCGCCGGAAGACGTCTCTTGCTCCGACGAGGCTTAAGGATTCTCTCAGGTCGCAGTGTCAATGGGCAGTTATCCTGATAGGACCTGCTACCCCGTTACTTCCACAAATACAAAGGTACATTGAGTGAAATATATAAAGTTCTTCATTTGTTGTTCTCAAGGATCTCAGCCTCTTTCTTTCTGTTATTGTTATTTAGATTTTGTCTGATCACATTCTTCAGTATCAATGGTAGGATTTTTACAATCTTTTCTGATCAAGTTTTACTCAGACACAGCCTTTTAATGCTGGATTAATACCCGTGGAAGGAAGTAAAGAGAAAGGTTCTGTGTTAACGGCAGAGCATCTCGGAAATCCTCTTCAAAACCAAATAAATTGGCAGAACCAAGCTATTCATTGAAAATCTAAATAGTTTTTTATGTTAGAGAAGATAAAGCTTATGAATTTTTGTGGCAAAACTTGGTGGAAGAGAAAGAACATAAGTTATTTCATGCTTTATGTTAGAGAAGATAAAGCATATCCATGTGAGCATAACTAAATGGACATAAAAAATGGAGGAAGAGAAAGAACATAATTTGTGGATAAGACTCCATATAAATCATTATGTCCATGTGAGCATAACTAAATGGACATAAGAAAGTTGCATGATTTTTTTTTCAGATGAATAGGCCTGAATTTGGCAATCTGATTAGTGAAAGCTGCTCTTATCAAAGATGCAACTGTTTATCTTAGTGTTAAGAGGAATAAGTTTGAAGTTTTGGCTGTACTTGAACATTGTCCATGAACTATTGTTCCTGGCAGCTTTTTAACATACGGATTATGCTGTTCAGGCGACATTGATTTCAGTTATTCTTATATTAGCATGATTGATTAAAAACAAAATAGTAATTACATGGTAATGTTTTTTTTTCAAATGTTGCATTTTGGATTCTATGCATAACTACAGTTTGAATTCAGGTTCTACGAAGTTTAGGCAACTTTGTCGCAAGTTAATGATTTATGTTTGTGGATTTAGCAATAAAACCGAGGATTAGGATTTGGGATCTAAACGATCTTTGATTTTATCTACATATTGTTTTTATGCTATCTTGATTGAGAGTATTGGATACTAGATCTTCATTCAATTTTAGATTAGGAAAAGACATGTGTTTGGTAAAATTTGTCCAAATTCGAGATGTGATTCAATACACATCGTTTTCTTCCGATTAATTATCATTTTCTGAGAATGAATTTGTTTTCGTGTGTGTGATCTGTTGTATCAGGAGGCTTCAGAGACTGCACAAAAGAGATGGACTTTGAATAAGCTCTTTAATAGGAAAGCCTCTTGGTAGAGGGAAATTTGGACGTGTCTATCTAGCAAGAGAAAAGAGGGTTAGTAACTTCACAATTTAGAGTCGTTGGAGAAGTAATTTTGATGTCTTTATAACAATTTGTAGCAACAAAGAACTTTTTTTGTTGACTTACGATATCTGTCTCTGTGAAATTTCTTGTTTGTTGCATAAATGAGTATACTTGATTCTAAAGTATGGGATTATGGACACTTTTGCAGTTTTTCAGTGTATCAATTCAATAGTTGTAAATAATTTAGTGTCCACGCAAACGTGAATACATGGATACCCCCACCCTCTTATGGATCTTCATGTTTTTAATGTCTCATTTCAATGGTTCAAAAATGAGTAGTGTCCATGCAAACATGAATATGTGGATATCCTGATATCCCATCCTCTTTTCCACATTTTTGCAGTTTTTCAATTCAATAGTTTCAAATTATTTAGTTTCCACCCAAACGTTAATACATGGATATACCCATCTCCTTTATCGATCTTCATATTTTTAGTGTATCATTTCAACGGTTCCAAAGTGAGTAGTGAGTAGTGTCCACGCAAACATGAACATGTGGATATCACATCTTTTTGGACAAAACCTTGATTAAAGTTGTACGAGAAGCTTGATTACCAAATTAAAAAACTTGATCCCTTTCACCATATTATTAGAGTTGTTCGAGAAGCTTTAGCTTTTCCTTGCCACAAGCTGACTCCAACTCTCCACAACATTCATAAATCAGGCTTTCTTCACCTTCACTTTGGTTGAAACCTAAAAAGTTTGCTGAGATGTCTCCCAACAGCACAATAATTGTCGTCCAGTATTTGTTGTTTCCAGCAACTTTCTATAGATGTAAAAATGTTTGTTAATGTAAAATTTTACAACAAATTGTAATATAGTTTACGGTACTAAAACAAAAGTTACTTATATTCACTCCTTAAAGCTACTCATTCAAATCCACCACAATGACCAACTACAATTGTAATTAAATCATTAGAATCCCAACATTTAGTTAAAATAAACAGATCACGTCCCATACTTTCCACCAAGAAAGTGGGGTACTTTATACTCTGCTAAATCATATTTATACACATCCAAAAAAGGTTTATACACATCCAATGCATCACATTGATCACTATTATATCCATTTAGTTATGCTTTCATGGACATGATGATCACTATTATATCCATTTAGTTATGCTTTCATGGACATGATGATCACTCTTATATCCATTTAGTTATGCTTTCATGGACATGATGATCATTCTTATATCCATTTAGTTAATGCTTTCATGGACATGATGATTTAAACAAAATCAAGACACAGATGAATTTGATCTTTGTGTTTCAGAGTTACAGTTACACCAGGGACAGCTCCCTCCAGACCTTCCTTCCCCTTAATCGCCCTTTTGATCATTCAAGTTCAATCTTTACCAAATCAAATTACTAAGAATCAACAACGAAGCTGAAATTGAAAGTGGCGTTTCCTCGAGATCATAACGAGAGAGAGAGAGAGAGAGAGAGAGAGAGAGAGAGAGAGAGAGAGAGAGAGAGAGAGAGAGAGAGAGAGAGAGAGAGAGAGAGAGAGAGAGAGAGAGAGCAACTAACCCAAAACCATCGGGAACAACTCCTGAAATTTGCATCGTCCTCCTCCCACCTTTATACAATTCCTCAAGACTACAAGCCAACTTTCTCACCATTGCTGGAGCTTGCCTATTCGCCGGCCACCGCATCCGCACGTCTATATCTGCTTCCTCCGTTCACACCGCTCCTCCTCCCGCCGCAGTGAAAATATCTTCGGCGTCTCGTGGATAGTACCCAAACCCGGCGTCGTTGTTAGAGTCCGCTGCGGAGCCACCGTCTCTTGATCGGAAGACTTGAGCCATCTTCACCGTATTGATCGTAGATCTGAGACTTGTGAGGATCGCTTAAGACGTGCTTAAATTTAGCCTCTAACACGAACAGTCTGCTGTTTTTTTTTTTATAACTCTAAGCTCGGTAAAAAATTCATTACTCACCCATCATATACAATATAACACAAGGTCTTTTGGTTCTTTCTACCAGTGAACAGTTTCTAAACAGTGCAAATAAGTCCACCAAACTAAAAAAGTACCTATAGAATCAATATATGGTTACTTCTACATTCAATAAATCAATAATCATGCTTTGAAAATAAAGTAGAGTTCCGTGAAGCTGAGCTTTTTCAATTAATGCATGCATATAATAGCCATAATGTATGTTTTTCTTCTACTCTATTCAAGGTTTTAACTCTACCGTTAGATGATTATTTTACAAAAATATGAATCAGAGACGACAAACCATATTGAGTGATTAACTAGTAACTACATCTTAATACTGGTCTATAATTTAATTGGTCTGAATGAAAATCAATGAAATGTAATACAGGATTCAAATTGGTGCATGCAGCTTCAAACAATATTAATTGAAAAAAAAAACTGTGTTTATACTTGGATATTTATCTAGTACTATATGACTTTGATTATCGTTTGTAATATGAACGGTAAAATAAGTCTAAAATAACATTAAATATCAATTATAGTTTATTTAGCTTTTTATGATTACAAAGTATTAACACAATCTAATTTGATTATGTTCATCATGATTTAATTAATCATGTGCTTCTAAGTTATAATAACATACACACATTATGGTTATAAGAACAAATACATACTGTACTTATCTTCCAAGAGTTACGTTTTATACTTGGGAACTGACAAAAAAAAAAAAAATCAATTTGCAAAGCAAAAGAAAAATATCTAACTATTTGGACTTTTGGTTCAGTTATGATTAGTAGTCTATATGATAAATAGTAGTAAAAAACTTTTTCATTTTAATAAACTTATTAAAGAAGTCACACCATGGTGAAAAACAAATGTTTGATCCCAAGTCAATTAACATGGATAATCCAATTGAACAAAGTAAAAAAAGTCGGTATCATTCTCCTCTTTTAATTTTGGTTTTAAACTTCACAAGGACTACTCTTGAGATTTAAGATATTAGAAACAAAAGAAACATAGTGATCCTGCACTATTGTGGCACACGTTATTTTTTTCATTTTTTACATTTTACTTAAGTATATAAACCAATAGATTGTATGTATGGCTTACCTGCATCTCTCCTCTATTTTCCTTAGTTGTTTTTTTGTATATTTAAAGAAAATGTACTAATGGCCTGTGTATATATCTAGTAGATACTGTTCCTGTGAAGATGTTTTGGAACACAGAGATCATGCCATCAACTGCGAAAGACGAAGAGCTCGTTCCCAAGCTGAACGCTGCATTGAAGAGACACGATGAGTGGTACTTCCTCAGTGAGATCATTGTCTGTGCCAGCGAGAACACAATCGACGCGAAGAGAAGAGGCAACATTGCTACACCAGAGTGACCTATCACCTACGTGGAAACTCCATAAAACACTTTGCAATGTGATGGATGCAAAGAGGACTTCCGATCAAGTTCTGCTGCTGCGGATTCGAAAGTGGCGATGGAAGTTTGTCTGTGATGTTTGTCGTAGCCTCTGATGATTTTTTTCCGTCAAACAGTACTCTAGTTCTTTTAATGAAAATGTTTTGTTTTTTCTAATAAAAGTTTTTTTAAATCAAGCAGAGCTTGTTGTGGAACTGGAACAATGAAAACTGTGCAATGCAAAGTTGATCGGTACATGTTTGAATACTAGAAATTACGTGTTTTGGGATGGTTTCCATCCATCCGACACAGCAAATCTCGTGTTATCGCAAATAATCTCCTTGTCCAAAGAATCGCCCTCATTTCCTAAACCTACGTTTATTTCAAATATTGATCCAATTAATTAGTATGCTATAAAATATATGATATATGTATGTGAAATATATTTACATCTGAATTAAGAGATATAAATGACAACGATCACAAAAAAAAAGTTGCAATATATTATCATCACCATTTTATTGCCATTCATGCAGTTTCATATGTATAATTACTGATTCGCTACAAAAAGTTACTTTGACGAACATCTTTGATCAGATCAATAATAAAAGAGAAGATGTACATGTTATCAGATAATATAGGGACCTTAGTTAAATTATTCCACTCCAAAATCGGACCAGTTGGTCTTCTAAATAAGACAAGTAGTGAAGGTTTATCCATGGCGATTTAGCGCCCGAGCGCTCTAAAAATTCATTCATGTCCACTGTTAATCATCACTGCCTCCTCAATTTTCCTCATATTGCACCGCCGGTTTATCGGCCGAAACTTCTTCTGCCTCCGTTATCTCTTTCTTCTCTCTCGCTCAATGGAAAACCTGAGCGCTTTTTTCCCCTCTCTGCGTCTCTGTCTCTTTCACCAGTAACCATCCATGAGCGTTCTTCCTCATCTTCTTCTTCGTTCGAAAGTGAAGAAGCGAAAGAGAGTGAATCTATTATTGATGGGTTTTTCTATCTGCTTCGCTTGTCCGCTCAGTACCACGACGTCGAGGTAACGAAAGCCGTGCACGCTTCGTTTCTAAAGCTTAGAGAAGAAACTATCGATCTTGGAAATTCCCTAATTTCAGCGTATCTCAAACTAGGTTTCCCTCGCGATGCTTTCCTCGTCTTCGTCTCGCTGTCTTCACCAACGGTGGTTTCTTATACAGCTCTCATCTCGGGATTCGCCAGATTAAACCTAGAAATCAAGGCCCTTAAGCTTTTCTTCAGGATGAGAAGCGAAGGTCAAATCCAGCCTAATGAGTTTACTTTTGTCGCGATTTTGACTGCCTGCGTCAGGATTTGTCGATTCTCGCTGGGTATTCAGATTCATGGTTTGATAGTCAAATCAGGGTTTTTTGAATTCTGTGTTTGTTGGTAATTCGGTGATGAACTTGTACGCTAAGCACCCTGGGTCGTCGATTGATGATGTGCTTCAGTTGTTTGATGAAATTCCTCACAGAGACGTGGCTTCGTAGAACACTGTGATTTCGAGTTTGGTGAAAGAGGGCATGTCTGATAAAGCTTTTGGTTTGTTTTATGAGATGAACAGAGTTGAAGGAGTGGGGGTTGATAGCTTTACCCTCTGAACGTTTTTGAGCTCTTGTACTGGTTCCAGTGACTTAACGAGAGGCGGAGAACTTCATGCTCGTGCAATTAGAGTCGGCCTGAAGCAAGAGTTGAGTGTGAATAACGCTCTAATTGGCTTTTATGCTAAATGCGGGGATATTAAAAAGGTAGAGAATTTGTACGAGATGATGAATGTGAGAGATGGCTTTACTTTGACGGAGATGATCATAGCTTACATGACATTTGGAATGGTGGATTCTGCTGTCGAGATGTTTGAGAAGATACCTGAAAAAGACGTTATTACCTATAATGCTCTAATGGCTGGGTTGTGTAGAAACGGCCATGGCTTGAAGGCATTAAAATTGTTCACTGAAATGCTGCAGAGAGGTGTGTTGACCGATTTCAGTCTAACAAGCGCCGTAGACGCTTGTAGTTTAGTTTCAGAGAAGGAAGTAAGCGAACAGATTCACGGGTCTTGCATAAAGTTTGGATGTGCTTCGAATCCTTGTATCCAGACCGCATTGCTTGATATGTGCACAAGGTGTGCAAGGATGTCAGATGTTGAGGAGATTTTTGAGCAGTGGCCTTCTAATCTGGATAGCTCCAAGGCAACGACGTCAATAATCGGTGGTTACGCTCGGAACGGCTTACCTGAAAAGGCTTTGTCTCTATTCCATCGCACTCTCTGTGAAGAGAAATTGGTGTTGGATGAAGTTTCGTTGACTTTGATTCTTGCGGTCTGCGGAACATTAGGGTTTCGAGAAATGGGTTATCAGATCCATGGCTATGCTCTTAAAGGCGGTTACTTTTCTGATGTTGCCTTGGGGAATACTTTGATTAGCATGTACTCGAAATGCTGCTGCTCTGATGATGCCATAAAGGTTTTCAACACTATGCGAGAACACGATGTTGTATCTTGGAACAGCTTGATTTCTAGCTACATCCTTCAAAGAAACGGTGACGAGGCACTGGCTCTATGGTTGAGGATGAATAAGGAAGGTATCAAGCCTGACACAATCACCCTTGCCCTTGTTATTTCCGCGTTTCGGTATAGTGAGTCAGATAAGCTTAGTAGCTGCCGCGATTTATTTCTCTCCATGAAGACTATTCATGACATTGAACCAACAACCGAACATTACACTGCTTTTGTTGGCGTTCTGGGTCACCGGGGCCTTCTTGAAGAAGCAGAAGACACAGTAAACTCGATGCCTTTTCAGCCGGAGGTCTCTGTTTTGAGATCTCTGCTCGATAGCTGCAGAGTGCATTCGAACACAAGCATTGCGAAACGCGTAGCAAAGCTTGTACTAGGCACAAAACCTGACAACCCGTCTGACTACATTCTCAAATCCAATATTTACTCAGCTTCGGGACTCTGGCATCGCTCTGAGATGATTAGAGAGGAAATGCGGGAAAGAGGCTACCGGAAACATCCTTCTAGAAGCTGGATAATCCATGAGAACCAAGTACATTCGTTTCACGCGCGTGACACATCCCACCCGCAGGAGAAAGACATATACAGCGGATTGGAGATACTGATAATGGAATGTCTGAGAGCTGGGTATGAACCAGACACAGAGTTTGTTCTTCAGGAGGTTGATGAGTTTATGAAGAAGAGTTTTTTGTTTCCCCACAGCGCGAAACTCGCCGTGACTTATTGCATTCTCACGAGCAATAATCGGGGAAAGCCGGTCAGGGTTGTGAAGAACGTGAGGCTTTGTGGTGATTGTCACGAGCTCTTCAAGTACGTTTCTGCTGTGGTCAAGAGAGAGATAGTTTTGAGAGACTCTTCAGGGTTTCATCGTTTTATGAATGGGAAGTGTTCTTGTAAAGATCTCTGGTGAATTACAACAATTGTTATCGCAGATTGGTTTGTAATGTTTCCGTTTACAGTTGTAATTGTAAGTTGTTAATATGTACGAGAGTTTTGATTGGGGCAGGGCGGAAATTGGTAGAGTAAAAAAGTATGGGTGTAAAAGGGGAAATAATGATAAGTTTGCTTGTGTGAAGTAAACAGAGAGTAAACAGAGAGTGGAAGGAAAGATGACGCTTGGCACGAGTGAGCAACCACTTAATACCAAATGTTATTCTTCAATTCACCCTTCCTTTTGCTACTAAAACCGAAAGCCAAAAAGCAAATTAAAGAACAAAAAACTATTTTCTTTAATTTGATTCTTCGTCTTCATCTCCTTTCTCTATAAACAACATTCTTCTCAAATAAGAGAATTAAGAGAGAGAAAAATATGGGAGATGAAAATGTCGATGGGAAGTGCAGAATTCTTGCTCGATTTTTCTTCCAAACCACCTTTTCCTTGCTCCACCTTTATGATATAAGTAACCATTAACTAAACTAATGGATACTCAGTTAGCATCAACTTACTACATTCATTTTATCTTCCACCTTGCTTCTGGGTACGGGAATGCCATTTGGTGATGGAATTGTGTTAATTACTTCGTTTTCTGTTCCTAGAAGCATAAGATAAGATGTTACAAATATAAAGCGTTGTAGAATCCCTAGTAAGCTCACAGTGATAAAAAAAAAAAAATATATATATATATATAGGAACTGAGAACATCAAACAGAGCAGAACTATGGCATAATTTGTTTCTAATGTAATAGTAACATCGCTTCAAGAAAATCAACCAAAACATTTGAGGATTTTGAAATTTAAAATAATCTAAAAGACTAAGACTGTGCTAAGACACCTCAAAGACATCAAAAACTAAGGCACGAGAAAGAAGAAGAAATCAATAAGGGATAATCAAGTTTCTTACCAGCATTTTTTCTACCAATGGGTCTTTTGTGAGGAAGTCGTTTCTTGATGTAACGCCAATGGTTGTGCTTAAGAATGTCAAACAGTCCCCACATGCTTTACATAATCTTCTTCTGTCCGAAGAAATGATTCATCTGCTATTCTTCCCAAGCCTGGCTGAGGCATTATCTTGGATCGGAGATCCGAACTTTGTGACACCATTATCTTGAATCCATGATGGTTCTGGATTGGGGAGCAGGTAACTTTGTGACACAGGTTCTTCCCCATTGGTAAGCTGTGATAATACCCACACTCCAGCTAATCGAGAATCAATTCGCGATTCTGGCAATTTACATAAAACTCAAATGTAAAATCCCAACCGGCCAAAATCAGAGATAAAATGGCGTTAACCTCGTCCTTATTAAAATCCGAATCAAAATATTTTCTCATCAGACTATCAAACTATATCATTAACACACACTATCCGAAAACAAAACAACCAAAATCTAAATTTCCAAGGCGTTACGAAGAATGTTGGAGAGGAATGCAGAATGTTGGCATACCACCAACCTGAAACGAAACGATCTTATAAGCATAGATCACAAGATAGCCCATAACTAAAAACAATCACCAAATTTTACCGTTTTAGTTGACATTGAATTAACTAATCTTCTACGTTGGGCTATCATTAATATGATAGACCCATACGTATAACTATAGCTCTGTAGAGCACTTTTTATTTTACAGAAATAGGTAACTGTATTTCGTCTGTTTTTTCTTTCTTTCTTTTTTTCTCTTTAAGAGGTCTCACTAAGAGCTTAAGAAGATAACACACTATCCAGTAGTATATTAGCATGGTAATTTTTTTTTTTTTCGTGCAAGTGATATGAAAACTCGAAATGATATGAACAAATTTTAAATTTGCAAGGGATGTCTTAGTTTGTCTTGTTAGAACACTTTTTCAAAAATTATATCAGATCGGTGAGGCATTAAAAAAACTTACATCTTCACCAACAGTAACCGCTTCAGGGTAGAGCCCATGAATCATATCATTTACCAGCATCAGATAAGTCACAGCATCCACATCAGTTTCCAATCCAAAGTACTCAGTGTAATTTCCAGTAAATCCAACCTATCCAAACCCATGAAAATAGAAGGCCAAGAAACCAATGTCAGGTAAACGTAAAATGCTGAAAAAAACTGGATAGGAACATGAAATAAAACTCAAATAGTTTCTACAGAGGTTAGCCATCCATTGTCGAAAAGGTTCAAGTACCGAGAGTCCATGATGAGTATACATCATTGAGGTAACGCCATCAAATCGAAATCCATCAAATTTTTATTCTTCTAGCCACCACCGTGCATTTGAAAGAAGATATTGTTTAGTTAAGTGAATGTTAACAAAAGGTGCTCAAGGAAATTGTGTGTTCACGATTAAAATCCGGGAAGAAGTTACATACTTCCCAGCTCCCATAATTGAAAAGACGTGAGTCCCACATCCAATGGTAACTTCGAGGACCAGAATGGAAGTAGTGAGCATCAGGTTCCATCAAACATGTTCAGTCCATCCAACGTCTTTTTGGAAGCATGGCTGCCGAGTTTATAGTCACAATATTCAATAACTTGTAAATGCTAACTATGAACGATCTGATGGTTTGTTTCCATCAAAACTTTTACTACCTATGAACGATATCCATCAGAACGAGCAGGCCCAACTCATGAGCCCTATCTATCAGTGATTTTAGTTCCTCTGGGGTCCCACAGCGGCTGCTAGGGGCAAAAAAGTTTGTGACATGGTACCTGAATTCATAATAGATACAGCCCACGTTATTCAGTAAAAAAAAGAAACAGAATTGAGATCACTATACAGCTTTACTACTAGTTGCCTGTGAAACATATAGCATTATGGCACAAAAGACATAGGTTTTTGCAGCTATAATTTTATTGTCAGCAAATATCTAGGATTCTACTAGAGCTCAAACAGGTAAGAAGAAAACCCAAAACTGGCATAATATGAATGCTCTTGTATAGCCATGATTTGAACAGCATTATAGCCAAGCCTTTTGATGCGTGGAAGCACATAATCTCTAAAGTTAGCATGAGTATTGATCATTGGTTCCTGTATTACAAGTATATTCATCATTCACATGATATAGAAAACATTCCAGAAAATGGAGTTGTTCAAAAACCGTCATCGCTGTGAAAAATATCCTACTTTTATGTAATTCTAATTAATGTCGTTATATAGCAACAGCCATACTGAACAAATAAACATTGTGGCTTATTGATACTTTATAAAAAATTTGGTACACAAGTGTTTAGGGCCAAAACATAATTATTTAAGAGAAGAGGAAGACACACACCGTGCTACTCATGCCAACATGTGCCTCATAAATCCTCAGTTACTTGGGTCTCTTTGGTTGAGAATGTTTGAATACATACTTCTCCTGAATATATATTTAGAGTCGTTACGAGGCAACCAAATTATCTGTTGATGTTTATAAGAACACCAACAAAATCATCTGCTGATGTTAGTAGGAACACCAACGAACAATTGTAAGCATACATTAAATTGGTTGTAGTAGATGCTCGTTCATATCATAAAGATGAGAATTTGTTGGTTAAATAATAACCATATGTGTTTGGAATCATCCAAGAAAGCAACCTGAGTTTTGCCTGACAATACCAACTTATCTATAAATCTGAATTTCCAGTAACTTCAGGCTAGCACTGGCTCTATCGCTTTCCACAAGATAATTATTCAAAGGACTACAGAATCTTACCTCTTGTAGAGGATCATAGTATATTCCATTGAAGGGGATTTCACCTGGAGCCTGCACCGAAAACTTGATCCAAGCAGGAATTGAGTCTTTAATGCCAGATGCTGTATCCATACGAATCTGGAGTTTTGTATATCAGAAATCACTTCATCATCATTACATAATCTTCTCAGAAACTTCCAGACAAATATGTATCGACGAGGTGTGATTTTATTCAAATGTATACACATGACAAGCAGAAAATTTAGTAAGGCAATGTCAATGCACTCCATACTTATCAGAATAACCAAATCGTTCACGCTTTTCTATATCTGATGTTGGATTGTTTTAAAAATACGCAACACAAAAACATCTTTTTATGTGCATAATTTTTCTGAAAAAGAATGCTTGTAACAGTGAGATGAAGACAGAAAATGAATAAATGAAGCGAGTTGTTAGTTACCTTTACACGTGAGCCATGGGGAATTGCAGGCGAACCATCAGTGTTGTTGGGCAAAAAGATCTCCCAAACACCAAATTTATTCTGTATAAGATTCGATGAGATAATCATCGATCCGAATTCACTACATTTTATATGATTTTTACAATTCAAAAGAAATTTAAGCAAGTTAGTCAATATGCCATACCCGAGTCATGATATCAGCATTAGGATTCCAGTTGTTAAAGTCCCCTATAAGTGATGCAGACTGAGATAGGCGAGGACAGAAAGTTTAGAAAAAAACGACCAAAGTAGTTATAAAATACTCAATAGCATAAGAAAACACATGCAATCGAGAAGTACAAGTTCTCATAGAGATGTGACTAACATGCTAAACCTCCTCGAATCAGTTTTGAATCAGAAAACCTAAATAGGTGTCGCCTTTTCTTAATTCCACATAATATACAATGAGAAACATGTAATTTAAACCACCTTCTCCTCTTCAGTATTATCGTCTAATCACTCCTCCGATTTTCTAAGATCTGGCAGCAAGATTTAATCCTCACATGACCAGCCATAACGTTTCTATCAGACAGCCTATAGGACAATATCCAACCCTTGTTCTCTGACTTATATTTTTCTTTGTTGGCGGAGATACAAATGCAAGGATTATTTCTACAGTCTTGAATGAAGAAATTAGTAAAGAAAAAAATCTATAATGATCTAGCAGAAAACTGAAAGAAACAAACCTTAGCTCCAGGCACCCATTCTCTATAAGTTATATCAGCATCACTGAAATTGAAATAAAAACAGTTAGAATCATGTTATGTGGCATTAAAATAATGCCAAATATCTCTAATAGCTTCAAGAAAGAGACAGGTCTTATAAACACCCATTTCCACTCTGCCAAAATCAACATTTTTTACTATAAATAGTTATGGATATCAAAAACGATAATTCAATGTACAGAACATTTGACGAGTTGCAAAATTAAGAAAACAAGTGATAAATATAAAAGTCGGCTAACAATCATTTCAAATCCAAAATATGGCCGAAAAAAATTAAATTCAAATCCAATA